AATCAAGAAAAAAAATTAGAAGCGATTGTCGTCACATCTTTTAATTAACGGGGATCATTGCAGAATTAGTTGAAGTATTTTTAGAGGAAAAAAAAAAAAAAAAGAAACGGTCGGACTTTGAGAAAATTACGGGTTTTTCAAAAAAACTAAAATATTTCATATATCTGGGATTCTGAAAATTTATTCATATTTTTTTTCGAATACTACATTTAAAAACAAAAATTTTGAAAAAGAAAAGTTCCCAAACGGTCAATTTTTGAAAAAGTTCTGGCAATTTAAAAATAAAAGAGCGGTTTTTTTCAAAAATTCATAACTTTTTTTGAGTCGGGAAAAAAAATTTGAAAAAATTCTGAAAAATAACTTTCGGGGGGTAGAAAAAGATAGAAAATTTTCAGCGAAATCAAAGGGGGTCAGATAAAAAATTTGTCGATTTGACATGGAATGACCCATATATATATAGTTTCTTACGAATATAGGAGAATGTTATTCATACAAAAGGAAGATAATTGTAATGTTTTTAATATTCTTTAAATCTTTCCAATAGAAAATAAATAAAATTTATTAAACTCTGCGAGATATATATAAATATTCAAAATTGAAATAGTTGTCTCTCGTTTCTACCACAAAAGAAATCGATCAAAGATACGACACGTAAGACAAATATTTGTACTTAATTTCATCTAACAATAAGATAGGAAATCGAACATTTTCGTTAGAATAGATGAGCGCTTTCCGGTGGCAGACGATAATCTTAGTAAACTAAGTAAATATGTACCTGTTACATCCGTGATAAACGTGTAGAAAAGATCGCGCGTTTAGATGGCCAAAATCTCTCGAGTCCCGGTATTTGAAAATGAACGGCAACGATATCTCCAAATTGTCATATAAGGAATTGCAAGCATTGGCTCTTAAATATCGGGTGCCAGGCAACATAAAGGTAATAAGACTCATTTTGATAAATCTCATTAGTTTGATCTTAAATTTCGATTAATTACAAAAATAATAGAGAAGATCTTTCTAATAAATTAGACACGTTTTTCTCAGACGTTAGAATAAGATCGAGCGTAATCTATGTGATATTTGATCATTCAACGATGATCTTCTTTTTCTTCTTTTGATATTAAATCGAAATTCGAACGATCAAACGATCGTTTATCCACAGAAAGAGCTACTTGTTAAAATATTAAGGGCCGCAAGAAGCAGAAACAATGGCGAAGTCGACAGATTGTTAAATGAATTAAAACAAACGCGGAAGAAAAGAACGCGGAAGATAAAGACCCAGAAACTTGGTCTAACTTCCACACCTATACAGAGTCCTGATAACGTCATGGCCGAAGATTATTATCATTCTCAACAACAGCAACAGCAGCAGCAACAGCAACAGCAACAACGATCCCCTTATCAATGGGTGAGATTTCATCTCTCCTACATTTTCTTTTTCTTTCTCTTTTTTCCTTCTTCTTTTTCTTGCTTTCTTTCTTTCTTTCTTTCTTTTCTCTCTCTCTCTCTCTCTCTCTTTCTCTCTCTCTCTCTCTCTCTCTCTCTCTCTCTTGCTTTCTTTCTTTCTTTCTTATTTTCTTCTTTTCATTTTTCCTAACGTTTGTTCTCTTAATTAAGCTCACGTCACAATCTAACTTTTAACACTTTACATAATTGATCGGATTTCGTCGTGATCCTAGTACAATTGACACTTCTATCGATCAAGTCCTAAAATCAAGAATATCCCGCCGCTCGAGAAACGATCATCATTTATTTTTGCATTTCCTTTCAATCGTTCTTTGCGATTCATTTTTATTTGTCTTCAAACAATCTATTGTTTTTTACTCAATTATGTAATGATTTTTTCATGAAGCTTTAATTAAAATGTTTCTATGCATATTATGAATATATGAATATATATATATATATATTTCTGTATTTAAGTTTATCTTCTAAGCAATCTATTTGTTGTTTAAACATTTAATTTATCTTTTCATATGAATATATGCATATGAAAAAATTAGTAAATATTTAAAAATGGCATAAACAAATAGATTTCATTGTTTACATCAAAAATTATTTCTTATTGAAAATAATATTTGTTAGATGCAAAATATTTCCTTATTATATGTATATTATACTTGCATTATTTGTTTTATGATCTTATATACTATCTTCTTGATTAGGTTGGCGCAGAAGAAGAAATTGTAAGCAGAGAAGATGACAAGCATTATGAAGAATTTAGACAATTTCTATTAAGGAAAATACAGAGAGAATTTCAAACATACAATACACCTCACAATCCACAACACGAATCAGCAATAGTAGATCTAAGAACTACACCAAGTAGTTCTACTGCACACAATTTTCCTAATTGTTCTAAGCCTAATTTAATAGGTATTAATGAACCTAACTCTTGCATATATCCTTTCACTAATCATATACAATATCATCACCTGCAAAAAGAATCGACCAAGAGTACGTGTGGATCTATACTTCTTAAAAAAATGTTGCAAGCACCAGTTGGTACAAATTTAGGAGAACTTGCAGCACCGGTATTTGGAGATTATAGAGTTTGGCCGGTAGAACAATATCATTCTGAAAATATATTAGATAATTCTGACACATTAACCGCAGAATCTGTGGACAACGACAACGAAGATAATCCTGTAATAAATACAGATTGTTATGGAGTTTTAAATAATGTTAAGGATGAATATCTATTACATGATACAAATTTTGTTAAAAATGTACAAGATATTGATCAAATGTCTAATGTACTAAACGATCAGACAAGTAGTCAATATCATTGCAACTACACGAACAATGATTTAAAACAAAATTATCAAACATGGACTATTACAAATGTTATGGATTCTATGGACGATAGTTATATAGATACAGATATAAGTACTTCTAAAGTACTTCATGCTATTTACCTTGATAACCCGGTAACAAATGCAAACAATGGAAATACAAATTATCGATATCACATTAGTGAAAATGTTTATAATGATAATCCGTCGGTACTTAATATTAATCCACCCGAAGATCCTTTGTATTATTCAACGTCTATAATGTCCAATGTACAATCTACTTCTACAGATCAAACGTACTTGGTGGACAATCATAATAAATACATGGGGGAAACAAGAGAATATTTCCAAATGACTGGTTCTGCAAGTAGTATCAATTTTTCAACCGATGTACCTCCGCTTAGTCAAACATTACCTAACAACGTTCCATATAATTCTGAAGTTACATATCAGTATTCTAATTTACATGACAATCATCAATCATATACCACAATGTCTCAAAGTTTTGAATCACGACAATCGAATGATCTTATAATATCGCAAGATATAAATGCGTGTAAGGATTCTGTAACGGAGAGAGTACAGCCATGCTCTGATGGTAGGTATGCATTTTTTATTAAATCGTAAATAATTGTATATAAAAATCTAATAGATTTATTATTATATATCATTATTTCGTACATTTTTCAGGAATGTTAGATCCATTTCGGCCTAAATGGTCGCACAAAAAGTTATCAGAAAATAATCTCGAAAATATATTGAATTTTAATATATCCAAAAGGATAGATTACACAAAACTAGATCAAACATCTTGTATATATTGTTATACTGCGCCAATAGTTGCGCATAAAGCCTTACTTCCCACGGATGTTTGTTCGCAACAGATAAAATTAGTAGCAGAACAAAGACATCATTCTTTTTCCCCTTACTGGCTTCTATATAACGATAGTTCGGCTGGTATGCGCATGGCCAATGTACAAAGTAACGCAGATGACTATAGTGGAGAACAAGTATGGATGATTCGCACAGCATCTATATCCAATAACTATAATTCGATTCTAAAAGAATCTATAGACGAAAGTGAAGATTCGATAAATGATGTTTGGATGAACGATTACTCCAAATATCGGATGCCTTTACAAAAGGATGTAAACAGTTGCGAAGTTATAAACGCCGAAGTTTCGGAAAGTTTATTCTCTAGCATACACGGCGAATCTAATTTAAAAAACGACACTATATCTACGTGTCAAATGCAAGAGGATATAACATACTGAATTATTTATATACATATGTATATGTAGAAATATGTGTGCCACCAGTGGTACATTCAATTGTATTATTATTAACCAACGAAAATAGAATTTTTCACACTTAAGGATCGATTTCTCTTATAGAGTTTTACATCGATTGCGACATATTATCTCATTAAAACAAAATCTATGCTATATCGCCGTTTTATTCACTTAATCAAATTATAAAAAATATGTATTTTTAAAACGTCAAATTCAATGTACTATCTACGTTGAAATACTGATAAAAAATCGAAGAAACAAGAAGACTGAGATAATGTGATATTCTTCGAATATATAATACTTTAGGAACGAATTTAAATTTAAATTTAATATTAAATTACATTAAATATATATATATATAATATATGTATACATATAATAATATCTTTTTTCATATATGCAATTATTGAAATAAAAAAAAAGAACGAAGAAGAAGAAGGAAATTATAAAAGATATAAGACAAATACATACGCGTGTTAAACGGTGTGATAATTAATTTATATCGTCAAGATAAATAATATTTAGTTCTCATAATTACAGATAACAATTTTCAATTGTTAGATAAAAATATTCATGTCGTACAAATCAGTATTGTGTGATATTAATATTAATTACACTTTTCTAAACGATTTATACATAAACATAAACAAAAAGTACCTGCGAAGATACCCACAATTTATTAATCAAATGTATTACGTTATATTTTTTGTAAAAATAAAATCAATTATATCTATACATTAGAAATGACTGAATTTTTATCCAAAAATTCGTAGAAACAAATAATTTTTATTTATTTAAAAAAAAGAGAAGACTCTAAATCAATTTACGACTCACCCGAAACACCTTCCGCTTGAAACTGGGACCGGATATAATTTAAAACTCTAACTGGTACAGATTCTCTTCTTCTACTTTTGTACAATTCGGTTTCTTTACTTCTCGATGTACTCTGTTTCTCGGAAGATCTTCCTGGAGTCACAGTGACACTGTACATCTTTTCTTCATTAAATAATCTATTTGTTGATTTATTTAATTACAATACATTGATTCAACGAAAATTCATATTTTTAGGCGCGAATCTCGGGTCGATACGTTTTTGTTTGTTCCAGTCAAAATTGGTGAATAATATGTAAAAAATACAAAAAATTATACAAATGTTAGATTTATTAAACGCGTTAGAAAGATGCACTCATTGGAATAAGGTCTCAGTCTCAACTGCGTTATGAAAAAAAGCAACGCTTGGATATACATACATATATAAGCAAAAGAGCCCTGGCGCATTCGCGCTTTGAATTTAATGAGATCCTCAAAACGCGCAGCCTAATTATTTCACTCACGGTTACCTGCAATTCCTTCTAACACATGCATATGAACATAAATATAGCACATACATTTTATACAGATATGTACGATCTTCGATAGTTGTAAAAACCTAAATAGATGAATATTTCGCTTTTAAATCTACGTAAATACATCACTCTCACTATGTTTTGAAATTTGGCGCTGTAACGCGACCCGGTTACCATCGTATTTTGTCACTAATTATTTTTTATAGTTTTTTAATTATTAAAATATTATAAAATTATAATTAAATTAAATATTTAAATTAAATTTGTATTTTATTTTCTGAAATTTGTATTTTTTATTACATATTATTATATTATTATTATCATTTGTTTAATCTTAAGGTATGTAATAAAATGCGATCCTAGAATGGTGCAATATAGACTTTATGTAATAAATATATTTTACGCACATCATATATAAGCAGCAAATGAACGAATGATTTATTCATTTGGTTTAATTTTTAATAGAAATAATATAAAAAAATAAAAATAAGAGAATAATTTTATTGTTATACAGGTTCAAAACTCCAAATTTGCCAACTTTTGGCAAATCAAGTGAATTTGATTTGCAAACGAATGAATTTGCTTTGCAAAAAGTTGAGTTTAGAATGCACAATTTATAATAAAAATGTCAGAAATAATTAATTTATTGTTATATAATTAAATATTTAATTTATCATAGGTATAATCGTTGTGTATATACATTAATATAAATTATATATTTATATATATGTACTGTAAATGTATCTAACTTGTAACCAAACGTTACTTCATGGTTTGGATAACAGTATAGGTCTCTAACTTATTCCTAACCTCAAATATGCGCACTAAAGATCAGGCCTGCGTTTAACCATTTTAAATTTAATAGGTGAACTATTTATTACTGATATAAAATAAACTAAGGTATTTATGTAATGATTTATTATATTGTGAAATTTAATTATATACTTTAAAGATTATGCATTTAATAATTGTAAATATTGAAATGTTTTTAATTTAAAATATACTAAATTTAATGTTTGGAGATTGTTTATTATTTTTAATTTTATATTTCTAAATCTAAATCTTATTATTAAAAACTAAACATTTTTAATAATTAATATGTAACATATATTTAATAAAATAATATTTATTTCATACGCAGATAATTTATATACAAACATGTTGAGAGCAAAACAAATAAGTGGTGTTTGTTCTCTAACATTGGGCAATCTTATAAAGAGCGAATATTTTGTGCCAAATGTAATTTACATGCAATGCATAAGATGGAAAAGGAAACCGATTTGGTTACCAACTGCGAAGAGCAAGATGTTCAGAGTACCTAAAAGACCGCAAATACCTATAGATGAATATTTAGAACTTAAAAGACTACATAATAATTACAGAACAGCTATGAAATCGCTTATGTAAGTTAATATGTTTTTACATATAAAAAAGAGGGAGCAAAAGAGAATTAATATAATAGAGATAATAGTTTACATTTATTTGTAGGCAACATTTTGAAAAAGAATTTCTTAAGAATCAAATACAATTTGATGAAGCAATTGTGAATAAACAAGCGGAAGAAGATTTCATACAGTGTAATTTAATAAACGATGAATGGAACAAGAAAGTAGCCAAAATAAGAGAAGCTAGATTGGCGAAATTAAAAGAAGAAAACAAAGAACTTATATTTAAAAAGTTAATAGAAAAAGAGGAAAGAGATTTATTAAAGATGCAAAAAATAGAGGAGCATGTTAAAAAACTTAAAGAAGAAGCAACAACTTTCATAACTGCTGAAAATGTAGATAAAGCGATCGAGGAAGCGTTAGCGAACATTGTTAGTCATGAGTTTGCTATAGATTTAAAGGGGAACATATATAAAGGAAAATACACCAGTGGTAAAGAAACAAATGTAGAAAATAATAAAGTTGTGAGCTTATAAATAAATAAAAATGAGTTTTTTTAGAAGTAATTTGCTTGCTTTTTATCTTCGTGTATTAATATTTAAAATAAATATATTTTGCTGTAATGTTGATTATTGTGTTCCATTTTAATTTTGGATTTTAAAATATACATAATAGATCAAAAAATTGTTTATTATTTTTGGAATATGTTTATTTAAAATGATCATGTGTATATATATCATAACAAAAAATCTCTTATAAACATATTCACTCAAATTCTATAAACCTATGTACTTCCGACAGATTATATCACTTGCGATACTCTCCACAAAGTGCTTTTTATTCAATTGCATTAACTATACATTTTTTTATTTGCATCGAATAAAATCGTAGTATAAAAACATTGATTAAATGTAATTCTGTCTGCACTGTTAATTGTGAAGAAATAACGACGAAAAAAATTATATATATACTATCTTTATACTTGGTTTATTATATAATAGCATACTGTAGTTCATATTATTAGAATATCTTTGGCGTAGAAACAAATGATGTTGCTCTATGACAATATTACTGCTAATAAAAAGAAGAAAAATTTCTTTTTCTATATTGAAAAATATTTGAAGGATTATTTCTAAATATATAAAAAAAAATATTTACAGGAAAAACTCACATAAATATGGTCTAGTAGAAAAAGTAAATTTTAATATATTAACATACTTTTATATTTCTTATATATACTTCTACTGCTTGAAAATCAGAGTAAATAATCTACTGTTTGATCTCAGAATCATCGATAAACATAATTTCAAACTGCAAAAAACCTAATTGTATATTCTATTATAATGATTGCATTCAACGAATTGAAAATATTTTTCATTACTCTTCTTTTATATTTATATATGAATATAATAAGAAGTTATTATTAAGGATGACGTTTAATAGATTCATTCATATAATCATGATTTCTCTTGATTTAAAAAAATGAAGAAAATAGCCATATAAAAGAACCTATAGTATATTATATCTCGCATGAGCTTTTGCATTTAAAAATGCTACATATATATATATATATATATATAATAATAGCATATAGCATGTATATATATATATTTATGTTTCATATATAAACAAATTTGTTTGTATGATATTAATATCGCAAAATATGTGGTATATATAAATACCAGTCTGTTTCATATCTTACCACTATTAATTAATTAATTCTTAATGAATAATGTAGATTTCTATGGTATAATTTACTTTTTATCTATCAACTACAATACGTCTGACATAAGACAATGGGCTGCTATTGCACTTTGATACCAGTTCCAAAAATGTTTATAGAAACTTGGATTCAAAGAGAGGTATATTTTCTTCAAAAAATTATGATCATCATTGAAAATATTTTTTCGTAAAATTATTCCCAAGTAATTATTCGAGTTAATAATATACGAATGTTAATTAAGCCGTGTACGCGATTGACACACACACACATCTTGGTATATAAATAGTATAAGTTAAAATAATTTATCTTGTTTGCAAAAATCTTATTAGACTTCAATCCTTATCGGTATCTTCTAATTTGATGCGTGTTACTTAAAACATATTCAAGTACTATTATTTTATTTTACTTTATTTCTGTTCGTGTTCAATGGATTTTTGTTTAAAAATATAGAATTTGTAGAAAATTCTAAATCTTATTTATTTTTGTTGTTTTGTTACTTCTTTCGTGTATAATATGTATGAAAATGATGGCACATGTATTCTTAATACGAAATTGGCAATAGATATACTTAAAAAATTTGCTGACTTTACGTTGACGATATATATCCCTCAATTAACCTTGGTCAAATAATAAAACAAACGCTTTCGTTCATCTTTTAGCAATGATTTACAGTTTCTCTTTCTTTCTTTTCTTTTTTTATTAAATTTTAACTTAGTTGGTAACATTATCTGCCATTAATTCATTTCTTTAAAATATATATGTTCTTTTTTCTTTTTTAATTATTTGTAGTTCATCCATTTCACAAATCACATTTTCTTAGTGATATTTGTATTTCCACTTTTAAAATACAACGCTATTTATATATATATATTTAATAAAAAGGGTTATATATTTTGCACTTATACGCAAAAAAGAAGCAATATATAATAACCTCATGCTTACTTTGGCGAACGGACAGCTCATTTCGGCTATCGACATTAATGTCCATCGGACAGAATATTATACAAAAAGAACAAGTATTCATTAAATCAACGATATCTTAATTATTATTTAATAAAGGAATACAGGGTGTCCCCTGTAATTGATGGTATAAGCGAATAGGAGTGATTTTACATAAAAAACTAAGTTGAAAATATAAAGTAAAATTTGTTTATATAAGGCTTTTTTTTTTAAGAAAAATAAGCCTTACTCTACATTTCGACTCAGTTTATCTACACAGAATCACCCCTTGTTCACTTGTACCACTGGTTACGAGGCATCCTATATACATATAAAATTAATATATAAAATTAAACAGTCAAATAATCTCTACTGATTTATGACAACAACAAAAAAAGAATGACAGAGTTCAGCGTATCTTTATAAAGCAAAAGTTTAGAAAATTATAAAAACAAGCAATAAACTCTTTTGCAATAAATCAGAATAAGTAATATGTAATATATATATTGGTATAAAATTTGGTCAACTTCATTCTATTTGACAATACTACCATGTGTATTAAAATATTTTGTACGAATATATATATATATATGTAATAATAATAAAATGGCTGATAAATGTGGTATGTATAATTACACAACTACTACTTTATGACAGCAGCAAATATTGATGCTCGTTTTAAATTGATTAAATGTACTAATACAATAATAATAATAATTAAATTTGCTCGAAATCAACGACGATTTACATTTACAGACTTCTTAGCAATTTCTACAGTTATTCAACATTTATATGTAGATCTTATATTTATCTCACGATAATACATATATAACTAAATAAAAACTACTACTACTAATAATAATAATAATAAAAAAAAATAATAGTAATAATAGTATTGGTGGTGCTGGTGGAAGTACTAATAACATTAATAGTAATAATAATAATAGTACTAACAAGAACGATAATAATAACAATGATAATAATTAATAAATCTTTTCAATTCTTAAAGCATAATTTTTGACGAAATGAGCATTAATATTATAAAAACACTGTTACTAATAATTACAATGTAAATATTAATAATTATAATTTTTTTGGTTTTATACTATAAAAAAGAATGATTTTATAGAGGGATTATTCTAATGGCACAATACCAAATTAGTGCAAAATATTATTAATGATTTTAAAATAGCTTCCAGGTAACATGTAATAACTTAATAAGAGCTCGTCTATAATATGCTTATTATCATCGTATTTATTATTGACAATTCAGTCATATATGAATTAATCAAATATATGTCACATATTGAAGTTAGATTTTAGTATTGATATTATCTATTTATAGTGTATAATAGTTTGTACGATCGATGATTATTATATCAATTCTATGTCTCAAGGCTATATATCATCAGACAGGATTTTGTACGCTAGTGCACCCCTAGAATATATCTCTGTATTATGCACTCAAATGTCCTCATTTCTTTCTTTCTTTCTTTCTTCTTCTTTTTCTTCTTCCAAATAGTATATTACAAATGTTAAGTTCATTGTATTTAGCAGATTACATATTTCAAACTATATTAAAAGATAAATCTCATATATTGATATGAATATTATCATCAATGATGATAATGTATCTCATACATTGATTTCAATAAAATAACGTTATGACTATTTCTTTTGAGAATGTATTTTACATGTTTTCTTTTCTTTTAATTTTGTTTTACTCAATGCATTTTATTCAAGCTGAAACAGCTGCCTTCTTTTTTTAAATAATTTCAGCTTTATAATAAGATAGACCAAATGTCTACTAGAATACATTTTTAATCTTCTTCTTTTTTTTCTTTTCTTTTGCAGATATATTTCGTCAGAGTAAAATATAACTTTTTGATTAAAAAATAATAATATCCCCTTTGTTTAATTTTTGTACATTGTTGAAATAGTACAAGGCCGTGGCATACATTTTATTTCTATAATTTGTACCATATACAGCGTGAGTCAGCTAAGCGTACAAATTACAATACAATTTTAGTGTAGAAATTATTCGAATGGTCGATCTTAACTGACTTGATCTGTATATACTGTAAACCATTGAGACGAATTTTAATTGGTATTTCAAACTTAATTTTTTCTGTTTCGTTTTTTCTTCTTCTTTTTCTCCAACACTTGCTTCAATGAAATTTATACGGTAAAGTTTCTTCAATTTTTTGCGATTGTATTGAATATTTCCATTTCATTCATTCTATTTTCAAAAATTATATCAATCTAAAATCTTAAGAATGTGTTACATATTAAAAGTCCCTTTACATACATAATGTACATTTTGCACATCACATCTCTAACATTGTGACCTTTCTTCTTCTTTTTGTATATTATCAAAATGTATGTAAAATTATTCGATACCACGTGGACCATCAATTGGCATAGTATGCAATACTTCGTCTAATAACTGAAGAGCTCTGTGCAAATGTACCTAAGAGGAATATAATAAATTTTGTATGTTATTTATTAGTCATTAGAATAACATCCAATATTTTTCATATGCTAATATTGTAAATAATACTTTTTATACCTCAATCCAACATGGAGTTTCCTTTATGCTTTGCCTTGGGTAATCAGGACCCCAACCTTTCACAAAACTTAAACGTAAGATACAAAGTCGTCGAAGATCATCCACTCCAATACCTGCAGCTGCACTTAAATCTATACGAGGTTTGTTTATATTTACAAATTGTTGGGTAATAATATTTAATATTGTATTTGCACTGTGACACTAACTTTTAGTTATAGGTGCTCCATGCGTAAGATGACCTGCAACAGCAGCTGCTTGTGCAGCAGCAGCAGCTTGCGCTGTAGCTGCCTGTCCTCTCATCTGTTTATGGCATTGACGCAAATCAAACACCTTAATATATGCAGAAGGATATATTTTATGTACCGCATCTCCAGGTGCTCGACCGGCTTCTCTGTCTAAATAATAAGACTGTACAAAAACACTATGCTCACTTTGGCATCTTAACCACACATCCCCTTCGCCTCTTAAGTCTAACACTACACCTTTTCCTGAAGTAAAATTAATACAATTCATTTAAGTATATATATATATATATAAATGCATAGGGTGTCTGAGATTTTTCCAATATTGTACATGAAAAATATTTTTTTCTTATTTTCACGCATAAATTAAGCTGATACCGTTTGGCTGGAGAAATCTCAGAAACTCTATGTAATCTAATATTTAAATTTAATTTATATATATATACCTATATGTAGACGTGCCCTTTCACTTTGTTCCGTTCTGTGTACATTACTTAATGCGCCTAAACAGAATCTGTTACCTCCACTTGGATCTACATAACCATCGACTGTAACAGTTGGGCAACCGCTGCTAACTTTAAAAGTTTCTCCTACTTGTGTATCTAGTTCAAAATAACCAACAGAACACCAATATTCAGGTGCTGGTTGCGTAGACAATAATCCACCAATATTTCCAGCAACGTCTCCTCCATGACCAGCCCCTATTTAATTGGCAATATATTAAGAAAGAAGAATTATTAGACAAATTTTGTAACATAATACTAAATTTAAGCTTACAGTAAGATGTAGCGTGAAGATGTCTATGATCTGGAGGTTGCATACTTTGTGTGTAAGTAAGTGTATTAGCTCCTGTCCATTGCGGAGCTCCGGAATTATATGGATTCGTTGCTGTGCCAACAGTAAATCCATTTGAATGGTGAATATGTACAGGTGACACTGGAGAATTTTGACCTTCGCCTAAAATAATGTTACGTCTTCTTATTACTATAACGAGCAAAAGAAAAAAAAATATACCTAAGGAAGCTGCTAAGGCCTCAACGTTTGTTGACGGTTGATTAATATCTTGAGGAGGGGTGGTAGTTCCATAGAATGTGTCTGTTGATTGTCCTTGAGGTGAACTCAATATTTGAGTACTGTTGCTTCCACTGCCTGTGTTTATTGACTGCTGCTGGCTACCTACGGTGTGACTCATTGGATGTACTACTGCTGTAAAATCAAATGTGACTCATACACAATACACAATACAAATGTACTAATATCATATTCGAAATTTCACAGAGTTTTTACCCAGTGTTTCTGAAAATTATTCATTTGAGATAGAACAATTCTGCTGCATACTTAGGATTATTAAATTAATTTTGTATACAAAGCGATAGCTGATTAAAGAAAATAAAGTACAATAAAAACAGAAAAAAAGCTTTTTATCATATACGTACGATGATGTATGTTATGTGTCGAAGAGTGATGAGGTGTAGGGATCCAAGTTTGCCTAGGGCAATTATTGTCGTCCAATTTAGTGTGGGGATTACCACTATTCCCTCCCCCACTACTGCCAAATATACCCTCACCATTAGCTGTGCAACAACAACAAAAGAAAAAGAAAATAATAAAGCAAAAATGAAATGTAAAACTGCAAAATAATATAATATACCTTAAAGCAATAATTGTATACTTGAAATAAAGTAATAGAATAATAGCATATTTATTGTCGCAATAGCATAACTTGCAGTACAAATTTTGTGCTATGGAAAATAGTCATGTTATATTTATTCAAACATGCTCCATATTTAACATTTATAATACTTAGTAAAAAAAATTTTTTTTCTATTTAAATACAAAACATACTAAATGTATAAACAAATATTTAAAAATGACATCAATATTTATACAGAATGGAATGGTAATCTTAAAATAATAAGGGAAGGGTTTCGTTTGTTATATCAAATTTTTATTTTGTTTATGTAAAACTACCCCCTGTATTACAGTTATCATTCCACCTTGTATAACGAAAAGCATTTTAATTGTTTATACGCATATATAAGTAAATCTTATTATTGAAAATATTATAGTCACATTTCGTGGAGCATTTTATTGCATTTCAACATATCTTTTCATTAATTCTTGTATACATACCATTTACATAAGCCAGTACTATTCAAACCTATGAAATTTGTATATAAAAAATATAAATTGATATATGAGAAAGATCGAAAACTGTATTTAGTTAAATAGCACTGGCATAAATGTAATAAAATCAACAATTAGATGAAAAAATATTTAACTTACTTGGATTAGGTGGTGCTAAACCTGGTATAAAACCTTGTTGAGGTTGTGGTGTGTTATTTGCTGTAGGAGGTTGTGCAGGCGGATGGTGTTGAATAGTTTGATTCATTTCACCATCAACATCCATAGCCGCTCCTATTGTCCCGGCAGCTGCTGATCCGCCACCCCCAACAGTATATTCATCTTTCACCAATCTGCTGCCTGGCCCTACACCTACTCCTGGTTGCAGCGACAATCCAGACAGGTCTGCAAAGAATGGGTCTGTGCGGGGGAAACCAACCCCTTCCATCATACACCAAGGCCACAATAATAAATCATTTACTCTTATGGTGCTACTACTACTGAGTTCACAAAAGCTTATCAAGCGAATAACGCCAAAAATATAAACAAATATAAACAAATATAATAACAATGTGTAAATGCAAATTTGAAATATTTAAATATAGATGAGTACATAAAATAAAGACAACTTACCTATGCCAGGTGAAACAACTCTTTCATAGTGATAAGGATTCACGCATACTGAATCACATTTTAAGTCAAAAGCAAATTGACAATATTTCACATGTTTTAATTCATTTTTATGTAAATCTGGCCATCTCCAGATACGTGCATAAATGACATGTGGGAAACCCTTACGTCCAGCAACTTGCAACCTGCCATCGAGTGTTCTTTGTATGGTAACACATTTACTGGGATGTGCTCCATTTGTAGTGATTGCTGTTATTAGGCTATCTAACTCATCTCTCTTTTCCTATGCATAAATATAACACAAATTAGATAAATTTATTATTACAAAAAATAAATATTATAGATCAAGCAATATACGCTTTGTATAAAAATACAATTACTTTAAGCTTTTTCACCAATGATTCAATAGCACGTTTACTGAATCCTTCGCTTTCACCACCTTGACGATGACACATTAAAGAATGCACAATACTTAAACAAGCATCTGCACTTGTAGGAGCACTGGGTGCAATTCCAGACATTTCTCTAACTACAAAAAAAAATATAAAAATTTATAAGAGATAAAAGAAACACTGAAAAACGAAATAAAAAATGATAATACTCACGTTCTGGATTAGGTTGCATTGGGGGCGAGGGATAAAGGTGACCTCCCCCGCCCGCCAATCCAACCATCTCTGTAAAAGCCGTGGTGGATAATGTACCACCGCTTAAATGCAACACTTGAATTTCTTTCTAAATGCAAAGCAATATTATTTTGTAATTTTACCATCTAGCAGCAAAATACTCAATCTTTAATCAGTTATGTATACAGAATATATAATCTATCTGAAAAAAAAGAAATATATTAAACAATAAACTAAAAATTATGTCATCGATATCGACGTACATGAGCATTAATAAACGATAATCACACTTTTTGCAAACAAAAGTCGACTCTGAATGAAATAGTTTTGCAAAAACTATTCTTTAATATCAAAAGTATATCTTCATATATTAATCATTATAGATGCACGAAAACTTGATAAATATTATATTATTAATAAACTTTAATTATTCTAGCATCGGTTTAGTGACTTTTTAAAGTCCATATATTTATAAAATAAAAAAGATAGATAAACATTTTTTTCAATTTAGGTTTAATGTTACACTATATCGTAGGTTAGTATGTTACTTTATTGTATACACTTATAAACTGCCACTTTACAGTTTGGAAAGGTCTTATCTAAATAAGTTACAAGAAATATATATATATACATATATATATATATACATCTATCTTGCAACAATATAGCCCTAGCTTTATATAAGTTTTAAATATACGAATAAATAACGATTGTCGTCAATACGAATCAGTCCGATACTTCGATAAGACTCTACTAGGTACAAATCAGGTTGTTCAACCTTTATTGGACTTTAAACGCTAATCTCTCTATGTATTTTTTAGAGATTTGTATCGCAGTATATGACACAAGTGGAAATATAACCCTTATTTTGATACGTCAATTAAATACGCGCCAAATTTAAAATTATTATACATCTTATAAATTATTACAGTCTGATATTTTAATAAAATTCTACTAGGACAGATCAGGTTGTGCTTTATGAGATCTTAAACATTAATTTCTCTATACATTTTTTGGAGATTTGTTACCGTAGTATGACAGAAGTGGAAATATAAACGTCATGTAATACGTCAAATTTAAAATTATTTATATATCTTATAAATTATTAAATTTTTATACCAATAATTAAACATTAAGTCTTACTTCATTCGTATATATTTAACATATAACTGTTAATAAATATTAAAATATGTATCATACGATTAGATTGTGATTAAACAACTATCATCAATATTTTTAATTTAAACGATACATTTAATTCGAATAAAATTTGTAGATAAAAATCACTAGAAGCAGATGAAAAAATAAAAAGATGATAGAAATATGGCTTCCATCAAATAATTTCTGATGATGTATTACTTCGCGTAATTGTCATATCCTAAGAGATTGTTGAACTCTACAATTATTAATTAATAGCAAAAGATAGAGATTAACGTATGATTTAACTTTAGATTAATCGATTTTTTTTACGTTATTAATTATACTAATTTAATTAATCAATGACAATTGTATAGATGTATACATGCATTTTCTTTGATTGTATGTGTTTAATTAAATTTATAATAATATTTTTATTAATATGAAGTATCTTTATTGTAAAAACATGGTATATAAATATGTGCTTATGATCTTTTATACACTGATACAATATTTCTTCGATATTATAATTCATTCGGTTGAAATTAGTTATTTCAATATAATAATTCTTGAATGTAAACTAAAATCATAATAATAATAAAAGGTAAGTAGTTTTGATTCTATATATATACACATATCACTTATGAACAGTTAAATGAGATATATCAAAAAATTAATTTAATCATTTAGAATATTATATAACGAACGTTTAAACTTTTGATAAGAAATTTTCATAAGAATACGTATTTAAACAAATGGTTTGAAAAAATAAAATATTATGTATTATACGATACAATATATATATTACAATGATATATTATTACTATTATTAAAAATGACGAGCATCAAAGAAATGACAAATTGCAAGCGTTATTAGACTAATTTTTTAGCTTCAAAAAAATACTTAAGATGTCTCATTTGCCAAGCACCCATAACTAATAAAATAAGTGTTTGACTAAGAGACCACCAAAACACACGGCGATGAGTACTTTCCGATGTTTGCCGGAAACGTTCCTCACGATACTGAAATGAATAATTAGAAAGAACAATTAGAAGTAATACTTAACCATTAATTACATTTTGTTTCGTAAGTTTCTTACTCGTTGATAGTTTTGTTCTTTGGTTATCTGTTCGACCTGATCTACAAGTTGACGTATTCTCAATTGTAATTCGGATAACTTTTCTTTCTGTGCTACATTAGCGTAATCAATTGCTTGCTCTCCTACTTGTATATCTAAATGTACTCTCTGTAAAATCATATTGTTAATTATGATACATAAAAACTATATAAACCTTGATAGATATGTAATATAATTTACCAGCTGTGTCCCACCAAACCATGCAGTACTGTTGGAATATAAACAAATAATATGTTCTCCAGGTGTATGCGATGTGAATGCGATTCTTCCTTCAGAACTGTAAACTCTAGAAAGGATAGGTTTGTCATCAGGATCTCTAATTTCAACATGCATACCAATTCCAGTATTACTTTTCATAAATCCATCGCTTCTTGGATCATACAATTCCACCTTATAATGAACTATTAAATAAATAAAGATATCCATTATTTTAGAATATAAATAAACATATAAACAATAATATTTGTACCTAATACTTTAGTTTCATCAGGGATTTCTTCAATAAAACATTTTCGTTCGGTTTCACCGATATGGAAATATAACCCATTTCCATAATTAACAAAAACACAGAATAGAAGAACAAGAATAGTTCCTTTTTTAAACATGATTTTAATAAATATAATAACAATTTATTTATATATATATATATATTATTTCAATTATTTTCAATTTTGTAAAAAGTCTTGTATGACACAAGAAAACATGGACGTTCACCAACAGTCAATAGCCAACATTTCAATTACATACGTGGCGTCATTAGTTGCATGTTACATAGAAAGGATTTTCCAATACTTCAAATATATTATCATTATTATAATAATTTCAGCATACTTCTCTCTAATCTATAAATAAATCATAAAATTGTGTAATTTACACACAACAATAAAATAAATCATGCATATGAAATAATCTAATTGCATGATTGTCTTTTTTATAATTGTACTTTTATAAAGAAGTTATTTTTCTTTATGAGGTTATATGTAATTTTTCTTTAACTAATAAAATTAAAGCACAGGAGCTTTTAAAAAGCTTTTAAAAATTAAATTTCGCGCTTCTTTTTAATTCTGTCGTATTGTTACGCATGCGAGAAATATTTTAAAACGATTGTAATGATTTGTAGTTGAGAACCACTGTATATCTTTGCAGTAAACGCAAGCTAGTCTTTAATTCATTTTTCTGGTTATTCATTTTTGTAATAACATAAATTAACGAAAATGTCGGCGTGGAGACAAGCAGGATTGAAGTAAGATTTTAATTATATTTTTCTATTAAATTGTATACCATAATTATGTTATAAAAGTAACAACTAATAGTGTGATAGAATTATATCATGTAAAATTCTTCATATATTATATAACTTTTCGTCCAGAAATCATTATATTGAACAAATGTTTTATCATTTTATATTTCTTTTTTCAGCTATATAAATTATTCTCAAATTGCTGCCAGACTTGTTAGACAAGCTCTGAAAAGTGATATCAGAGTAGAAGCTCAAAAGCGTGACGAGGTTAACGTTAAATTTACGCAATGGAAAGATGGAAAACCAGTCAGTACGTATAGCTTTAAATCTAATCCAAAATTTCCATTGATTCTAATTTATTTTTCTATATCAATACAATCATCGATTTAATTATTTAACTATTTTATATTTAAGTCTACTTTCTATGACTTTTCTTATTTATCATTCGATACAAAAACTAATTTGTTACAGCTGAGAAATATTAAATTCGAAGATCAGTAAGTCTATGGTGTTTTTCAGTTTGAGTTTGTTTGAATTAATTAACCTTTTGAGTGCTATGGACGCATATAGGTGTTTGTCGATGTGAATGCTAATAATTCAATCTCTGTTTGTGTATGGATAATTGTTTTAAGTCTTGTTCCACTCAAATTATGCTTTATGAAAAACTTTCTTATGTAATTTAATTTAGGAGAATAATGATTATATTTGTCTTATTAGCTGTGCTTAGTATAATTAGATAATGTAACACATACTAGCAATAAAATACTTTGTCCCTGTGAAATGCTTTGGCTAAGAATATTCAACACTCAAAGGGTTAAAGTATTTGAAGTTGGAAAATAATTAATACAATGCGAGTACGATTGTGTTTTAACGTTAACATTTTATATGACAGTATTTCTCTTTATTAATGTATATATATTTTTATTATTTATTTATATATATATATATATATATTTTTTTTTTTATATATAATAATATATATATATATATATATATATAGGGCATTTCACGTCAAATCAACCACTTTTGATCCCGATCCCTTTCGATTTGATTGAAATTTTTTTATCATTTTCTACCCCATTGAAAACTGTTCTAAGAATTAAAAAATATTTGTTTACGCAACTCAAAAATGCCAAATCGAAAGGGGTCGAGATCATAAGCGGTCGATTTGACGTGGAATGCTCCATATACATGATATATAAATGCGCTGTGTATAACAATACAATGCATTACGTTTTAATGTAACTTTCTTCTTTTTTTTTCTCCTTTTGAAGTTTTTTTTTTATATAATAATTGTGGAGGATATCATTATATCGATAACAAATAAAATTTTTGTTACAGAAAAACAGTAAATCTCTGTATCACAGCTGGGTAGGAAAATTCATCCAATATTTACATTTATAGAAATAACTTATGTATGATGATCCTAGTTCACGTATGAAATAAAATCATCTTCCACTTTGTCATGGCTATTTTTTGACTTAACTTTTGTTGTTGATGTTATTAGTTTTTTAAGCGTCATCTTACAACTGGACAATGTGCTTTGCAGTGTACTATAAAAATATAAAAAAAAATATTATATATTATATTAAATGGATTCTCTTGTTTTCTTTTCATATTAAAAATATTAATTTTACCTATAAATTCGGAAACAAGGTCATTGTCGTTATCTCCACGCATAGTTCCTGTTATTTCTTCGTCTTCAACCATTGGCAAAAATAGTTGCACAAATTCAGGCGTGTAAGGAGGCGCAATTGCTTCTAATACCTAAAATAATAAAACACTAAAGATAATTTTCAAGTTTGTTAATTATATGAGTGATAATAGAAAATAAAAAATACTTCGGTAACAAAATATCGAATTAAGGACACATCAGTATCGCCACGCTGCCAACATTGTTTTATGTAGCATACTACTGGAACTACACAATCACGACTCAATAAATTGACCATCCTGTCAATCAACATTTTTTTCATTTCCAACTTAAAAAAGAAAATTGTACATTAGATATATAAGACTTCGATTCATTTTGAAATCAATTATTTGAAAATATTTACCTGTACAAGTATTTCCAGCTCATCCTGTTTGCTTTCAAATAGTTGTACGAGAAGTTGCAATACCTTTGGATGCAATAAAGGATGACAAACAACAACTTCGTCGAGCAAAGCAAGATGAACGGGACAGTGTTCTGTACACAATTTAAAATATGATGGTTCTGTAACTGTACATTCGACCCATCTGATCACTCCAACACTTACAACAGGAAAGCTGTAAAGGATTATTAATATAATTAATATTTGTTAACATTTTTTTTTGGTAATGCATTGTAAATTTTGTTATTTAAAATATACCGTAAACATTGATAAAGAGTTTGTAGTTCTGCAACAAGTTCAGTGGAACCTTTATTAATATTGCAAATATTATGAACTTTTTCAATTGCTTGAATAGTAGTCTTCAGTTCTTCTTTATTAACTTTACGGGCATTACCCTTTTTAGCAGGAACTTCGCATACACTTGCAGCATAAGCTAATAAGTATATGTATTTTGATTTATGTTCAGGATTTACTTTAACCCCGGGTTTAAATAACGCATCCACTAATAGTTCTATAAAAAGATAATAAAAAATTAGAATATCTTATTTTATAAGAATTATATATAAAAAATGTGTAATATATGAAATTACCCAAAAATTGAGGATTACGAAGTAATTCAATCGATGGAGGCTCTGCTGCTGAATAATTACGGAATAATACTGTGATATCTGCAGGATTTAAAGTATTTCGTGATAACATGGATGCTAATGCTTGACACGCTGCAGGGCTACTTGCTGCTCCATTGAGAGCCATCGTGATTGGAGTAACATCGTGTCGACTAGAAATTTGTAAATTAATTATTATACGTATGTTAAAAGAACACGGGTTGAAATTTAATAAACATTATAATATTCTTACTTCTGTTGAGCGCATTTAGTAATTTCCTGAGAAAGTCTTTTCATCATAAATCCACCTTTGGATTCTTGTGCAAGTATTTGTAATAATACTTGACTATAAACGTAAGTGTGTTGACCATGACACACCATTTTCTGTAAAAATAAAAAATGTATTATACTTTGTTATTAATAAATTTGCAATTTTATAATTCAAATATGATGCTTTAATTACTAACCGCGCATTCTTGAATACTGGACTGCCAGTTCTCCGTGTTTTGTAAGAATCCAGCAATAGCTGTTTTTAAAACACGAGAGAATACTTCTATTTGCTGTGCAGCTGTAGAAATACTCGTAATTTCTCCTTGAAAACCAGCATCGGATATGAGCTATATAACAAAATAGTAATTACTAATAATATATGCGTATAATATTTAAATAATGCAATTACACACATTCACACACATTCACAAATTGATGTGCATTTATCTATACCTTTATAGTAAAATTTAGCATGAGACAATCAGGATATTCTTCAGCAAGTCTATAAATAAGCGATCTCCAAGTAGGATGTTGAATCATTTCTGTTAACCAGGCTGGTGTCTATGTTCATAAAAAATTATAATTAACATTATTTCCTACTTCTGTAGTCTCCTCTTTTATACATAAAATAAAATCAACATACTTCTCCTTCCTCAGTAAAAATTTTATCAGCTTTTTTAGGATCAAACGTTTTCAAAATCATGTCTTTTAAATTATTTTCCACCATTGCTTGTACATCCGTAACTTTGACTCCTGCGAGAATGAGCCACTCGGCAAGGAGGTTTGCCATTTGTGCACAAGCAGTATAATTTTTTGATAATAATCCTATGACTTGTTCTGGATTACCACCCGCTTGAAAATATCTATAAAATGATAAAATAAAATTCTATAAATATATAACTACTAACTATATTATAACTACCTTTTTAATTGTGTAAAAATTCCAGGTTCCATTATATAATCAGCAGTTTTAAATTTATCTAAACATTCACTTAAAACTTCTTGAGGATTATCAAATGTATCTTCGCCTCCACATTCATCAGCATTTCGACCCATTTCATCACCCCAACCACTGCGGTCTTCATCATAATCTGATTCCATCTAAATATAATATATGAAAATTTTAATATTCATGGAAATGAATATAATAAACTAATAAATATAATAAAAATGATAAATATTCTCTAGAAATTTTACTCTACTAAAATATAACATAACAACATTATTTTATTGTAACCTTTTTAAAACATTATTATAATTAATAATTAAATAAATATAATATAAGTCAATTAAATCTGCTAACAATATAATAATAATTAAATATAAATATAGAGTACAAAAATATTTAAGGTTAGAAAAAAAGAAAACAAATAGAATGCAAAACAAAAATACAATATGAGTCGTAATTTAACAGAGCCCTTAAAAATATTTAGTAGCTCTATCTAATTATATTATATTATAAATATTATCTCTCAATTTTATTACTTACTTTTGTTTTATTTATTTATAATACTCCAACACATGTAAACAATATCCATCCGACTACTCTCAAAGTACTGCAATCCGGAAGTACTACTAGTATAAAATATATAGAATGCATGTGAATATAAATTTTATTGGTTTATTTATATGGCCAATAAAAAGCTTGAAAAAAATTATCCAATCGAAAAGTGACGTTATTATTTATATTTAATAAAACTTGTCCAATTGAAAAGTAACATTTTATAGATAACCAACTTTATTTTATATGCGATCGACTTTTCATCCTAAGAATGTTTCGCGATTTATCTACTAAAATCTTGCCATTTAACAGATCAAGCATGTGTCTTATGCATTGATAGATGACAATATGTCAGAAATCATCTGTCGGCTATAATCAACCAAAAATCGCTTCGGGATCGACATGTTGGCCACCTATGTTTTAAATTAGCGATAAATCATAGTTGATCTAAATAATATATATAGATTTCATGTGTAACAACATATTAATTTAAATAAAATAATATTTCTCTAATTTTGACAAAATGATTACTCGTCAAAATTCACGAAACTCTTTAAAACTGGTAATGCAGTTAATTACTCGATAGATAATAGCTTTAAAATATATCTTATAAATAGATAAATAACAACCAGTTATAATATATGTTTTATCTTTTTTGTAGTACAAAGTAGTAAATAAAAATAAAAATTTGAGAATATCTACAAGATTTTGTTCATCTGACGAAAAAATATATTATTTTATATATTTTAATAACTTTATCTAAATAATACTTTTATATAATATTGTTTTAATTTTGTTTAAATTTGATCAGGAGAATATTCATAAAAAAACGTACGAAGAAGAGAAATTTGATATTGCAGCATTACCATCAATAATATTTAAAGGAAAAATAAACTTCTCTAACAACTTTCATGATTGTGCCAAGATTTGTGACAACATTATGTAAGGTTTTAAATTTTATATTCTCTTCATAATTATTTATTATGTTTGTGTTACATGTTAAAAATCCATTTCTTTAGAGAAGAGATTGAAAAACTTGAAGACAACATTGTACCGATAGGCTTTGACTTAGAATGGCCATTTGATTATAGAACAGGAAGCAAAAAGACAGCGTTAGCACAAATTTGTCTAAACGAATCTGTTTGCCATCTGTTACATTTATATAATTTATCAAAGTTACCAGCAGCTTTTGTGCAACTTTTAATTCATCCAAAAGTTAAGCTTGTTGGCGTTAATGTTAAAAAGTAAGTTAAGGTTAATATGTATTAATTATTTTTTAATTTAATATCTACTATCAATTTGTTGTAGTGATGTATGGAAACTTGGAAGAGATTTTTCTGAATTTCCAGCCGCAAGAGCAGTAAAAGAAAACTGCATTGAATGTGGTCCGTTTGCAAATAAGATTCTAAACCGTTCCTGTCGTTGGAGTTTAGAAAACTTGACTGCCTATATGGTTGGTTTTATATTTATTTTTATTATTATTATTTATATGTATGATAAATTTGTTTCTTTTTTTTTAGTTAAAAAAGAAAATTGATAAGAATCCAGAAGTAAGAAAAAGTAGATGGCATATTCAACCTTTAAATGAAGCGCAAAAAATATATGCAGCCACAGATGCCTATGTGTGTACAGTACTATCATTTTGAGAAAAAAAGTCAATAATTTATATAACTCTTAAAGATATAATTTACTATTATTTACAGGTATCATTACTTAATTATTTAGCAATTAAAGACAGGTCTTATGAAAAAGAGGAGTCTTGTGAAAAAGAGGAGTCTTATGAAAAAAAGGAGCCTTGTGAAAAATAAGAGGAATAGTTGTAAATTTATTAATGAAAAAAATAAGAAAAATTTGTATTAAATACTATTTTTTTACTTAGTTATATTATTTTTAAATATGAATTAAGTTTATTTGAAAATAATCTCATAATGCGGACTAACGTTGTTAAAGTATTATGGACAGGAAGATTAAAATATGGTCCTAGTGTAAGACTTCAAAAAATACTTTCCAATTTACATAATAAGCAACTAAACAATGAGACTTGTAACACATTATTGCTAGTTGAGCATGATCCTGTATACACTATAGGAATTAGGAATAAAAACTATACAGACGAAAATGAAAAGAAATTAAGAAATCTTGGAGCAGAATTTTACAAAACGGATAGAGGTGGTCTTATAACATTTCATGGACCAGGACAATTAGTAGCTTATCCTATTTTAAATTTGAAACAATTTAATCCCAGCATTAAATGGTATGTTTGTCAGATTGAACAAATGATTATACGCCTCTGCGCTGAATTTAACATATTGGGAACAACCTCACCGGATACTGGAGTTTGGGTTAAGGACAAAAAAATTTGCGCTATTGGCATTCATGGCAGTCGTTACATTACTACACATGGTTTAGCTTTGAATTGTAATACCGATTTAACATGGTTCGATCATATTGTACCATGTGGCATTGAAGGCAAAGGAGTTACTAGCATTAGCAAAGAACTTGACATGAATGTAACGATCGAAGACGTAATCCCCAGATTTCAAAATGTATTTCAAAAAGTGTTTCAATCATCGTTGGTTCCATATCCACAAAATGAAGCATCTGAATTGCTTCGAAGCGTTAGGAATTGTATTTAGATTTTGTTTGCTCTTTTTTATCTTAAAAACACAATGTATTTACAATATTTAATAATAAATTACATTTTTTATGAAATTTACAAGAAATTTCTATTTTAAAAGTAAATATAGTTTTATATTAATTATGAGATATATCATTAAATCAAATATAATTAATCACATTATATAAATATCCATTGATTTATTATTAAACTTATAATTATATGATGGAAATGAATGTTAAAATAACAGATATTTCTGAATTTTACATTATAATGTATGTTAAATCGTTAAAGTAAACATATTAAGGAATCTTAAATAACAGATGCAGCTCTACGCAGCAAGAAGAATATTCTTTAAAATTGTTAGTCAATTTTTAAATATAAGAGAAATATTTTAATTAAATTAATCGATAATAGTAACACAAGATATGTTCAATTGATAAAATATTTGACTAGATTATTCAAGCCTCATTATGTCATGTAAATATGCAAAATATCGATGTAGTAAGAAATAACATTGATAATTTCAAACAAAGATTTTCAGTAAATTTTGTGCAAGAAGAACATATTATTCTGTTAAAACGTGAAGATATCTTTGATGATATAATTCTCCTGTCAATGCACCTACTATAACTACAGCGTTGTGCAATGAATTAGCAGAATCTCTAATCAGTCTAATCGACCGTTCTATGTCACATTTAAGCTCTAAATACTGCTTGTTAATTAAAAGACCTTCTAAACTTTGCATAGCTTTGATGGCTTCTACACTAGGTCGAATTTCTGCAGTATCTAAATCAGGTGACCTTGAGGGCGCGACACCAGGGGAATGAGACGTAAATCTTACTATTTGATGTTCATATTTTGATTCTGGAAGCTGTGCTAAACAATATACACCAATAGCACGACTTAAAAATTTACATCTGTTAAACATAAAATATTAATATTTGTTATAATAAAATAAAATATCTGACATATTAAAATTTATTTAATAAAATATATTAACTGAAAGGTACCTAATAGAAAGCTGAGAACTTTTTCTGAGCCCAATAGCCCCTAAAAGACCCCATCCTTGTCCAGCATCATCAGCCATCGTAAGCAATGCGCGTGCTAGTCCTTTTAAAGCTCTAGCAGCGATTACAGTATTTTCACTGTATTGACATTGCCTGTAGGCTAATTCGCATGCTTTTCCCCATAATAATGGTAATTTTTCTTCCATTATATCCCTAAATAATAATTTATGTTTGAATTACGTTACAGCTTTTTTTTTATTTATATTTATATATAATTTATATTTCTAGCTTACGTAGTCTTGATAGCGGTAATCCAGTCAATTAAATTGATAAGAAGCATGCCTTCTTCTCTGATATCTCTACATGAAGGAAGTCTTTTCAACAATACAGAATAAAGAACTAAAAGTCTTCCTTCTGAAACTAATACTGATTCCAGAGGAGGCTGTCTTGGTACAACGGGTTGTAAAATTGTTAAAACTGCAGCCCATGTTGGTCTACCATCTTCGGAAATTACTAAACAATATAACATGAGTTTTTTTTTGTTAATATTAAAATATGTATATTCATGAAATATATATTTTAGAGAAAATGAATTATTTATTATTCATTTACCAGTGTATTTAAAATAAGCTTCTAAAGCAGCTTCCATAAGTTCTCCTAATGTAGATGAAGAAGCAATCGTTACACCTATAACTTTAAGTACACCCATGAGTACTGGACTACTGGCAGATCTTTGCAACAACCAAGTTGTCCAACTAGTTCGAAGATAATCATTTAATGGTCCACTTTGGTTTATAGAATGAAGAAATTCGGTTACTAATAAACCTGCTTCTGGAATTTGTTGGGTTTCTGAAACAGCTAATAAATAAATATTTATGTTAACATAGTAACTTTTAAAATAAAGTATAAATGTGTAAGAAAAAAGTAAAATTATATTATTTAAACTTACTATCAATAACAGCTTCCATTTCATCCAACATACGAGACAACGTAGTTGTAAAAGCTTTAGAATTCGTGGATAATAGTGATTTATATCTAGTTGTACAATTGATTAATAATTTTACTGAAGAGCGTACATATATTTGTCTCTTTTTTAATGTAGTTGGATGATAATACGCTACACTGGGATCATAAGCTGCGACTATCTTTAATAGACTGTTATATGATTTGATTAGAAAATAAATCAAATATAATATATATTCGAATTAAAATGTAATACTTACTTATTCAAAGCTATATCTATAGGATGAATTTGTTCACAGTCTAGAGAAAGAATAACTCTAGGATCACAACTCATTACGTGCCAGTTAATTACTTGATCATAAGCAGCTGCATCAACCAAATGCCATGAAAATGTTACTGCTTGTACAATTAATTGTACTGCTTTTTCATTCTACAACCAATATGAAATTATTTTTTGTAATTTATGTGTTAATATTTATGGAACTCATTAATAAAAAAATATTATTTCATTACCTGTCTTACATTTGGTTCATTTGATAATTTAACAATTAAGTTCAATAAACATATATGCATTCTAGCAACAATGGCCAAAGGAAAAGTAGTTAATGACTCATTTATCCATGACGACCAATTGATACAAGTAAATACACTTCCAAGAAATAGATGACTATCTGGTAGATACTGATCAACTACTTTAATCATTAGCTCGACATCACCAATACTAGGACAGAACCGATCCCATGGGAGCGATAAGAAATTACCGTGTATTACATTTAATATGTGATCTTTGATTGAAGGATGAGCAAAATTAGTAACATAGAAATGCCAGACGAAAGATAATATCTTGTTGGATGCTGGCATTGTGTCAATAATAAATCTAACACATTCCACAAACATCGATACAATTCTATTAGCATATGGTCCATCCGTTATAATCCATGGCAGTAAAACAGATCTATCATCTGTAAGTTGTTGGATCCATGCTGCAGTTGGTTCTCCTAAATTTCTAGTCCAATAAGGTGTGATCCAAGGTGCATACATTTCGCTTAAAACAGGCCAAATTTTTTCGCATACTAAAAGGAGAATAATTTGTTAAACTTAATCTGAAAATAAACGAAATTTTAATTTAGATTTAAATTTTACATTGATCTGCCAAGGAGCCCCTATCAGATTGAAGTGTTAGGACAACAAGAGCATGTCCTACCATTCCCAAAAATACTGATAATGGATCGTTATAGACTCTATATTTTGGATATAATCCATAAAGACCATATTGCAAACGTTCTTTCATAAAATGTCTACTAAGTAAAACTGCAGTGTCGTGCATCTAAAATGATAGAAATTAATTATAATATCTTTTTATTTTTTAAATAATTTTTATGAATATTTAAAGAAATAAACATTTACTTCTTGTCGAGAAAGAAGTCTTTGTTCTGTAGCATAATGACGTATTTCGTCTCGAATTTTTGACAAATGTATTACAGTAGAACTTTTCGATTTTCCACTCAGAGTACCTAATAAATCACGCCATACATCTAAGGACAAAGTTTGGCTTTCACTGCCTTTTAATATGGTACTAAGAACTTCACCATAGTGTTCAGGAAATTCATGTAGAAGAATGAGTCGCAGATGATTGCGAAATAACTAATGTAATAAATAAATATACTTATCAGTTGTAGCGTGAAACACATGTTCTATGTAATTTTTAAATATTTTTTTATATATGGACAGAATTACCTCATGTAATATAAGTTTTTCTTCTTCAGGATTAAGTCCGATGTTAGATAGAGCTCTAGAAATTAACTCTATGAATGTTGATCGTTCGCTTAATCTTGGTCTTCTGTAGCTTAGCCAACTTGCAACGTCAAACTATAGTAAAATTAGAAATTCAAGAATTACATAAAATATGTTAATAAATATAGTCGTATTTTTGACTGATCTTATATACCTTAGAAAGTAATACGAAACATAAGTCTACATTTATTCCAGTAGACAATTCAACAACTGTTTGATACATTTGTAAGAATGTTGATGCACCACCAGCCACTGGAGTAAAGTGAGGACCAAGCAATCCACCAAGATTTGGTCTTTGCATAATTGTTTTTAACAATTCTGGTCCTTGACTTTCTTCTCCGCTAATAAATAACTGCAAAAACATTTATTATTAAACTAATAATAAAATCTTTTATTTTATTTTATATTTTTTATGATTTATACCTGGCCAAGTTTTTCTAAACAGGTTGTAATAAGTTGTTTAGTTGGTGGACACAATGCTGCTTCTTCCGTATAAAATTCCACCAAGTGATAAAATAACTTAACACCGCTTTTTTGAACTTTTTGCAATACTGCTGTATTTTCACTAATTCGACTTACACTTAGTTCGTGTTCGAGCATACTATAAAATTAATAATTATTAAATACAAATGTACATTATATATATATTCTTATGCTGTTTGTTAAATATACTTACACAATTAAATGATCCATAAAAACACAACCCTGTGTAATTTTACTAGGTGGTGGTTGACTTGCTTTAACTAATAAATTTTCATATTCTGCTCTATTTTGAGATATCATATGATCAACACCATCGCTGACATGAGCTTCGATAACCTACATATTTAAATATTATTCAATAATAAAAATGATAACTTTTTGGAATAATTTTTTACAATAAAAAAGATATTTTTACTTTAATTCTAATCACTGCAGCACCAGCGCAATGAACAACTGGTGGTACACCTGATCTAGCACGCTTTTGATGTACTGGTGCAGGATCACATAGAGCATGTAATGTAATACAATTTTCAACTTCTCGATAAAGTGTAGGTATTAACTCTAAGAAACTACAATCTATAGCTGTATGCTCGGAAAGCAAAAAATTATAAGTTTGTGCATAATCCAAAATTATTTTAAGATGAGGTTTGATCAACGTTATAACTGTTTCTGGAGAGTATAAATTTTCTCTTGATACAGAAGTAATAAGATTATTGTTTGTATTTAATAACGGCGGTGAAATTGGTTGTTCGTATGAATTCAATCTTTTAAAAATTCTTTCCAATGGATCGGCAATTTCTAATAAAGTAGGTGGTACAAAAGAGGATTTCTGATATTGATTATTTGGATCCCGGAGACATATTTGTTCCCACTCTTGCACAGCTTCTAATTGACTTTGTTGAACTGACCAATAATCAACATACTCAAACCACGGATTCTATAATAATATTAACATAGTTAAAATATGATTGATAAAGAGCATATTTTCAATAGACAAAAAGTTTTTTTAAATTACTTGGTCTCCCTGCATGAGTACTATTAATTTTTGCGACATGTATTGCGGTGGCAAAGCTGGAATATAAAGACCTGATTCTTGCAATCTTGGTTCTTCTAACCACAAACTTAAAGTCTTATAAAATCTAAAATAAAAAAATTAATGAGCCATAGATAAAAAACAAGTTGTAATATTAAAATAACTCTTCATTATTAGGTATTTACTTAGCAGAGTTAAAATAAAATATTCTTCTTTCATCAGTAATAGGTTTTCCATTATCAACACCTTTTTCTCCTTTCAATTGAAAATGTTCAGTTATTTCGTGTAATCGTTTTTTTAGTTTCTTCAAATAATTTAGATTAATCATTCCTTCAAAAAACTTTTCACCCACTCCACCTTGATCAGTACCTCTGAAAAGAAATATACTCTCTTGAATATTTATTCTTAAAAGCTATAATTGTAATGTAATATATACCCTGGAGTTGTAGGAACTCTTGCTAAAAATAGAGTGAAAAAGTTTTGCCACAGAAGAGAAAGAATAGGATGTTCGATTGGAGTATTAAGTGCTTGTTGGGACCAACGATATATAGCTAATCCATTAACATTAAAAGCTTGCATTTTTACTGTTGCACAGGCTCGCTAAAATTTTTGTAATAAAAATATTTACATTTGTATATCATATGATATAATCAATACTATTTATAACAACAATAATGATAATAATAATAATAATAATAATACCTTTAGTGCAGTGTCTAATGATATTTTAGTTTGTAATGCTAATTCTTTTAGAATTTCACGCCATAAGCCTGTTTTTATTTCTCTTTCGTACTGTTCGGTTAATAAGACCTGATATGCAACCCATATTGATTGTGTCGAACCACCCAAAAGGCTTAAAGAATTATTAGAACCAGTTGCCCAACTTAAAAAAGAACCCAATGATCCTGGATTTCGATTTGTTGTTATATTCTAAAAAAAAAAACAAGGACAAAAATAATGTGCTCCAATTTTTAATGAAAAAATTATTTTGTCCATTATTGCTTAATATAATTTGTATATTAAAAAATGTAATATAAATTTTGGTAAAAATCCTATCATAGATGAAAACAAAAATATAAATCATACCTCATTGTTTCCTTTTAATGCAAGCTAATAGCAATGATTTTTCTAATTATGATTACAAAAATATTATTATTTGCTACTCTATACCAAGACATCAATATTATTTGGAAATGTTAAAAAATAGAAAATTATTTAATAAAATAACATAAATATACATCAAATAATAATAATAATAAAATAATAAAACTAAACAAAAATATCCTGTATGAAAATCTAATATAATATTGGAATCTCGGTATAATAACTAAATGTAATTATTCATAATAATTTTCTTACTGAATATAAGCTTTGAAATATGTTTTCCATGATTGATCTTGTATCCAAATGAAAAAATACGGCCCGAATGATTGTATCCATTAGATATAAAACATTTTGGTCTTTGTTCCAGTCTGGTACAAGTATAAGTACATTCAACCATAAATACATTAACTTTGCAGGACTATGCAAGCAGTATCTATAAAAAAAATAATATTTATTAGTAAAATTAAAACAAAGAATATAATTTAAAGAAGAATAATTTGTATACCTTTTATACTTGTACAGATGAGATTCAATCATACTTGAAAATTGTTTAAGTAATGGCCCAGGAAACTCAGGTGCAATTAAATTCTTGGCCATTTTCATATACGTTCTATCAGCCGTAATTAATGTAATAACGAGACTTAAAAATTTATCATTCTTAAATAATGAATCAGGGCAATCGACAAATAATGGCACAATGTGATGCAAAGCTATCAATACTTGTTCATATTTATAATAGCATTGTAACGTTTGTAATTGATTGAACCCTTTGGAACAAATTAAGGGTATAGAATGACCCCATAATGTCATCAATACTGATACGTAACATGCAATCGGTTGCTTTTCTCTCACTCCTGTATTTAAAATTTCCAAAAATAAGTCAGATTCCATATTTGGCAAATAAGAAAATGCTACAGTAGGATTTGATATTGCACGCTGAGAAAGTGCATCAGATTGATCTAGTTGATGTAATCTCAAACGTGATAACATTTCCCATGCCCATAAAGTGAATGCTTGTTCACTATTTTGTGGTCTGACTATGGATGATACCTTTTAATCAGTAAAATATATTATAATAATTGTAGCAAACTATATTATGAAGAAAAATTAAGTTGCCATAATTTCATTATTATATGAAAAGATAAAATACCTGTTTAACTCCCTCTGCTAGTAAAGAAGCAGTCTGTGTAGGAGAATCTGGTACGTATTTCATGGCCAATTCAACAATTAAAAGTGCCACACGTCGGTGTATTTCAATAGGAAGATACAAATTATTTCTACAAAAATGATCACATTGTTCAGTAATTAATTACAAATACAAATGTGTAGATTAATATTACTAACCCTTCGAGTCCCCAATTGAGATGAGTAAGAACTAAACGTGCTAAGTGACTTTCGGTTGATGCTAATGAATGTTGATGTAACCAAAATGAAAGAACTTGAAAATCTTGTTCTTGTGGAATCCATTTATCCATTTTTAATTCAGTGAACAAATATAGGCTTAACTAAAATTATTTCAAGTAAAACAATATTTTTGATCAACGAGAGATATTAATTTGTATACTTCAATTAAAAATATACCTTTCCAACGGAACCAAAATTATCCCGCAATTTTAATATTATATCTGAAAGAAGCGTAGGATGCTTATTTGTTAAATTAGATAATAGTGATCTGGCATCTTTTGAACAAGATTCTTGTGTTATTTCACTAAGAAATCCTATCTGTAATATGATGTATAATTAGCAAAGAAAATAATATATATAGACAATCTCAACAATTACTTACTTGAAATAAATCAATAGTAGCTGCTCTTACAAAATCATAATCTGCAAAGGTTCTTGCCATAGCCATGTTTGCAAATGTTGTCAATAAAAAATATGATTCATCTCCTGGCATGTTGCCTAATTTTTCTTCAAATTGTTTACGAAGATCTGGATAATTTAATTCTTTTTCCCATTCTATTAAAAATAAGTCCATTAAAAATATTTATATTTAATTATTATTTTCTTATTATAAAATAATAAGTAAATATTAACCCGTATTAGTCATAGTGGTCATATATATATCTGTTGATGTAGAGTCAGTATGTAAAGTATAAAAGATTTGCCATAATGTAGTTAATGACACAATATGATATGGAATAGATGCCAGATATTGCCATGCACCTAATCGTCGAGAGGAAAATATTGAAAGAGTTGCTTTTAGTAAAAAGCTATCATATTCAGTTTGTAATTTCAGCAACATTGATGCATCTGTCACCTTTTCGATAAAAAGAATATAGAAATATTATAACACAAAAAATACATATGTTATAATTATATATAAATAAAGTATAAAAATAGTTTCTTACTTGATTCTTATCAAATGCTTCCCACTGATCGCTAACATATTGAACTATGTCTCTAATTAATGCACTTAATCTTTTAGCTAACTGTCTATACCGTGGAGAATCGTATGTCTTTAATCCTTTATTTACGAGTCTCACAACAACAGTAGAAAAAGCGAATATTCGTATCATGTGATGATCGGTAATTAAATTCTTGTTTTGATAATATTTATCATTTCGATATTGTATAAAAAGTATCTGTTCAAATAATTTATTGAACGGTATTTGATGCAAAAGAAAAATAAGATCGCTTTCGTATAAATTTGCACCAAAATTAGCAATGTCTTCATCTTCTTCGCCTCCTTCATCCAGCATGACCCAGATTGTATCACCTGGGTTACTTGCTGTATCTTGTAATGATAATTGTACCTAATTATAAATAATATTCTATTAAGCATTGAGTATATAAAGTTATAGCAATATCATTATCATACATACCTGTTCTAGAAACTTCTCACGATCTTTAATTGGAAGTAAAATTACAGCTAACGTGGCTATCATATGGTCAAGATATGGATCATTTAATGGAGACGTAGAGACTTCGATTACATTTGTAGATGGTAATGGAATTTGAATATAGCCACGTGCCCAATTCATAACACCTCCAGGACATCTCAATACATGGTTCAATAAAAATAAATGATCCTGCCAAGTAGCTACTCTTAAAAGAACTGCTATCAATTTAGAAAGCCAATCTCTGACGTCGGTAACAAATTTTCCATCCTTTAAAATTTTTCGTTGAAAAGTGAACAATATTGTAATACACATTCTAAGTTCGACCAGCTGCGGTATTGTTTGTGAAGGTGTTTGTACTGGCATTAAATTAACTGGTGCATTTACTGATAGGTTTGTAAATTCCTTACAAAAAATGCATACTCTTTGGATATAATGTTCAATTTGTAATCTCAGTACTTCTGCTTCGTAACAATATAATGCTTGGATATTATATAATATGTCTTTGATAGCCGATAAATTACGTGACAAGCTATGTAATGCTTGCTGATTAAAATGAGCAATAGAATATTCATGAATAGCACTAACAGGATTTCCATCTTGACATTCACCAGTTTCCGTAATAGTAGCTTTATCAAGACACCATAATTGTTTTTGCGTTTCTCTACAATTTTCTTTCAATCTTTCTAATTCATGTGAATTTATAATCAGATGATTTCTAACACGAAGATAATTCATAAGAAGTTCATAGAGTTTATGTTGCTGTTTAATCGCATGACTTCTCAATTGTATCTCTGTAAATTCTGCGATAAAGGCATCGACCAATGATAATTCTTGATTATTATAAAGAGATATTAACTGATTTTCGGTAAATGGTTTAACATCATTAGTAACAGCTTGTATCGTGTTAGTTTTATCTTTAGATACTTCTGGCTCATTTGTGATCTCTTCTTCCTCGACTAAAACTTTATTCGAATTAATGCTGAATGAAGACATTGTCTCTTCTGATGTTAGCGTAGTAGCTTCTTGATCTTCAGCAGTAGGTGCTGTTGGAAGAACATCTATCAAACGAATTTCTGAAACTACTATTCTGACTTCTTCTATCTTTCCTTCCAAAGGATCCGCATCTTGCATTGGAGTTGCTAGATGTTTGCCATCAATTTCGTCATATGAAACAGATGATTCTGAATATACCTGTCAAAATATACGTCTCTTAAATTTCTAAATAAATGAATATCATATTAATTAAAAAGAATAAAAATAATTACCTCAGAGGTTTCAATAGACAAATTATATTCCATCTCGTAAGCAGCTTTTTCGGCAGCTTGTTTTTCATAAATTTCTGTATCTATAGCAGCTGAATGTAACTCACTTTCCATGTTTTCGACACATTCGCCTTTAGGATAATTGGTAGGAGATTCTCCAAAAAGACACTCGAATTCTTCTAAAGTTGGAGCATCTGGTATTTGTTGTTCTAGACTGGGCGGTATCATTTTGTCTTTCTTTTTCTTCTAAATGTACCAAAATTGTTAATCATAATAGTGTTATTAATTTATTATTATAAGTACGTATTTTTGTTTGTAAATAATTACATAAAATCTTTAATAAATAATTATAGTAATCTTTGAAGGTTTTAAACTCATATATATATATATATATAATCACACACATAAGTTTAACAATTTATAATAATTTGAAAATAAATACAAGTATATACAAAAAATTAAAGTTACCTGTCGACTTTTTTGTTTCTCCATGATTATTATTGATTATGGAGGGTGATGAGACGATAAGATTATTTTAACCTCGTATAATTTTTTGTATTGTAGACAACACTTATAAGGAATTAGGTTTGTGCACTGTAATATCTTTCTTACTCGCCATTATTAATGTTGTAGTATAAAAATTAATCACATTTTTTTGAAACCTTTATGCAATATGCAAATAAATTGTATTGCGCATTAAAATAAATCGAACTTTATGCAAAGCCATAACATACATTTAAATATATATTAGATATAGAGAAAAAGTTATATAATAAAATAATATTCTTTTTATTCATGCTAATTATTTTCAACAATAACTTTATCACTATTTCATTGTTATAGTTTAGTATAATTATAAATGATTTTGACAAATAGATGTCGTGTCAAGACAAAAACTTGTGGAACTTAATTTACCGACTATTACCGACCGAAAATATAGCATTCAATCATACTGCCATCTAGGATAGATAAATTGATTTGATTAAAAAAAAAAAATTTTTTAATATAAAATTTAATAAAATATTACAAATATAACAATATATAGTTATATTATAATATGTAGTTGCAATATTTGTATATATACATGTTTAAATCAAAACATTTCTTCATAAATTCTTTATCCTAAAACGAAATTTATATATTGTTTCTTTTTTCTTTATTATTTTTTCTAATCTTCTTTTATTCTTGATTATCACAATCGTTTCTATAGTTTTTGCTAAACCTAATATACAATATGAATTAATAACATTATTTTAAAAATATTTTTTGTTTTATTCAACTTACTCTAATTTTGTACGATTATATTCTTCTTTTAAATAAAATATGAGAATAGTTGATATTGCTAAATTTACAAAAACACAATAGGTTGACCATCGATCACCTGTATCGAAGAAGAATAAATATAACTTTAAATCTACATTCATTTACTTCTTCATCAGCATCTAATATAATTAAATCTCGCCTACCAATCCCAGGTATAAAATAGGAAAAGTAAAATAAAGTTCCTATCAAGTTAGCCAGGAATATCATATATCCTCCTACAATGGCTTCCGAAACAGGAAATGCGATTTCAGAAGAAAGTTCAAGGAATAAGGCTGGAGTGGACCAGCTGGCTGATATTCCAAGTATTACAGCAGCATAAAGTTCTTCCTTACGAAATATTAAGATTCGATTTTCAAGCAATAAAACCCAGAGAAACATGGTTACGGATATCATTAGTAGTACATAAAGACCGATTCTGAGATGGCCTTGAAAAATATCGGCTACTCTCGAAGCCACCAAGCTAATAACGCTCCCAAAAATTATAGTCCAGAAAGCAAGTTTATCAGCTTCCTCCTATATATTCAAATAAAACATATATATGCATTCATTATAAAATTATAATAAAATTTCTTATTAAATACAAATGAAAAGATTATAATAAATAAATAAATTTACTTGTGTAACCATAGAATCAAATGTTATAGTAATCATACTGAGCCATGGTCCGGTCACACCTTGACTAAATGCAGCTGCTAAACATAATTGCCACATATTCTTCTTTCTTAAGTAAAAAAAAAAATAAAAAAGATTATTTTAATCATTATTATTATTTAAATTTTAATGTTTGTATCAAATAGTAATTGGTGGTATCATATAATAAAGACAAAAAATAATCATCCCTTGTGGGGATCGAACCCACGACCTTTGGATTAGAAGTCCAACGCGCTATCCTCTGCGCCAAAGGGACTTGATATCAACTTGCATTAAAAAATATTAAGAAGGAGCGTTTCAAATTTGCGTTTGATTTAAAAATTTATGTAACATAATTGTTGATTTTTTTCATTACGATAATTTATCCTAATAATGTTTACAATAAAATTAATGACTTGATATATGTACGAAGCTTTGGTAAATAAAATTTTGCGAAAAAAGTTTTTTATCTTTTAGATAAAACATTATTAAAAAACAACTTCCCTAAGAGTAAACTTGGTAATAATATTAATAAATTTTGGATAAGGAAAAAAAATCTTGATTATTATTAAAAAAACACCATGATAATAAAATCATATATAAAATAAACCAGAATGATATTCAATTACTTGAGAAGAAATAAGATTGAATCGATCAGGCTTAAGCGAGAAGAGTGGTCTATGGGATCAATGAAGGAATTAGGATGGTTTGGAAAAAACGATAAGATTCCAACAACGATGAGGGATTGAATCACGAATTCTGTGAAACAATAAAAACCAATAATTGATATTATATTAATTGGGAAAAATAATAAAGTAATTAATCCCAATGCATTACCGATTCTCATCAACGACATGATTTGTATACGTAGAATCTTTTGAACGCGATTATTATTCGAAGAAGATTTCGGATCAAATATGGCTCGTCTCGCTGAACGAATATAATAATTATCTTTACGATTATAAATTTGTACATTTCTATTAACTTTTCTGTTTAATATTGTTTTATTAGTCGAAATCGTTGTATCAACAACAGCTGGTCCTATCAAATAAGATACGGCCATGCCAAATTGATTACAAGCGGAAGATATACCTGAAAAATGTCATTATTATTTTATTAAATATGTATATTAAGCCGAATAAGAATATAATTTAGTTTATCGATGATTGTCGATCGATCAGACCTATGAAAACGTAAAATTCAATTAACGATATCTATATACGTATTAATAAATAATGACTTTCTCTTTGGTTAAACTAAAATGTGTAAATCCATCGTTTCGCTTGAAATTAGATCCTATATATATCGTTTTATCGTTTCGAGGTAGAATAACGGGCGAACTACGATATTAATTATATTAAAGAGATTATCACCGGTTGCGGTGGTGCGTTCTCCACGTGGGAACCAAACAGCAGATACCAGGGCTGTAGCTGGACCGATTATTACCCCGGACAGTCCATTTAAGATGGCCGCTAAATGTGCCGTTCTGAATAAATATAACAGATCTATTATATTCCCCATATAAAATGTTGCATCGTGTCAATTAATGATATATACTTTTTATAAAATTTGCTTTTTATCGGCGTACCTACATAGTGAAGATCGTTTCATTGCAAGAAAAACATCTGATGAAAGCTGCTAATGCTGAAAAGATCGCTGCCATTCTTATGGGTGCTACCAAACCTAATATTATAGTAAAATTAATTTTAACAAATTATATCAATTTGATTTTTCTCTTTTTGTAATATATTTTAGCTGTTCTTATAAATTTAGATAAATTTGTACCTTTTTTATACAAAAACCAACAACAAGGAAGACAAAATGTGAGATATGTTATGCAACCCCAATCGGATAAAAGAGCAATGTGATATTTTTGCCAATTGGAAAAAGCTATCATTGTTGGTATTGTTATAGGACCCCAAGTATTCCATATGCAACATTGACTGGAACTTAATATACAAAATAAAGCCAATGCGATCCATCGTTCCTTCGGTACTTTAGAATCCTGATTGATCAAATTCGATATTTCGTTAAGATCTTTTTCCACATACTCATTGTCGAAAGATTGATCTTTTAAAAATCAAAAATACATATATTTTTTATTAAAATAAGTTAGAAAAATTATGTTGTGAAGCTGACTTACGATCTTCTCGAGAATGTGAGTTCTGTAGTGCTTTTAAATTACCGGTACTTCTGGGATAGATTTTTGTCAATTTGCTTTTCGAACAATCTTTGATTATATTCTTGCATGGTGAACTTCGTGTTTCTTGTAATCGGTTCATTGCACCGTAATTTCAAATAAAATAAAAGTTTGTAATTAGCATACTTTGGAAAACGTGTAATTGATCATATGATATTATATCGGAAACGTGTCACAAATTTTTACAAGAAGAAGGCCAGTAAATCGTTTACACAAAAAGTCAGATATTCAATACATAGTTAAATCGACTGTTCTTTTTTTTATCATTCAAGAACACATTTCTGATCGTTTTTTTTTAATATTGCAATTATACTTCTTTACATACAATAAGATGTAATGCATGCTGTTACGAGAGGATATTTTGAAATAGACGAAGTTCAGATCTAGCAACGTTTTACGCTCGATAAATCGAAAATGATTCGATGCGAAAGAACATCAAAATGGAGAGAGAGAGAGAGAAAGAGAGAGAGAGAGAGAGAGAGAGAGAAAGAAAGAGAGGGGGAGAAAAATGTTTAGGTATCCGATATAAATTGGATTGGATTGTTTCACCTTTGTTTGAGAAATTATCTGCGCCAGTTAAACTGTCGCCAATGCGACGTTATGGTATCTCATTCATGAACCAATCGGGAATACTTTGGAAATCAATGTAATTAGAGAAGAGCCAATGGGAGTTTGTTGAACGAGAGACATGCGCACATCGTAACAACCAAAAACACATACCTATATATCGTCTCAACGATCTCTGATACCTATTGTTCATATTCCATTGTTATTGTATTACGATTATTACTACCCTCTCATATCGATTGCATCCACATCGACGTCACAATTAATATCCTTCTCTCTGCACTGTATTAACTCAATTTCGTTTGAGATAAAGCAATACTTAGTCTATATGAATACTTAGAATAGTATTTCTTTATCTGCTTATCATTGATGCTATTAGTGACTAAATGATTCATTTCATTGTATATAACCAGTAATACAAATTTACATTATTATGACTTTTTCATTTTATGCATATAGATAAAACATTCGATGTCAAATTTACAGTGTAATATTCATTTAATAATTTAATAATTAATATAGACTTGTTAAATTACTGTAATTATATGAATTTAATATTATTGTTTTATTAAACGGCAGCAAACAAGGAGACACCTTTTTACGTATATTTTTTTTATGAATCACAGCGATCCTTCTTATTTTCTTTTTCTCAGCTTTTAACGAGACAATTTTCATATATTATCTTACGAAATATCGACGATTCCATGATGAATATACTTCGTCTTTTGAATAAAGAACCGTCTAGAGAAGGAGAAAAAAATAAAAGGGCATATATATCGTTAACAAGAAACCACCAATCCCCTCGATCAATGAACGAGAAAAGAATCCCAGCCGATGAATTGTTCGTTGTGCAGTTGACCGTGAATACTTTCGAGATATTACCAAGCTGTAGAAATAAAAGATTGTTCGAAGATGTTAAGAAATTACAAATCAAGCATCCTTTTATCGATGGTGAAATGGTTGTAAGATGAATTTTTCAATTTTCTTTTCACAAATAAAAATCCACCCCATCGAAAGACGATATTAATGACGAAATTCCAGGGGTTAGACGAGTTTTACAAAATTCTATCTTGAAAAGAAACTTTTATTTGAGTTTCCTATTAGATATTAGTCTTATTCTGTAAATTATTTTTCAAATGCTTCTCAAAAATGTTTATATATATATATATATATATATATATATTAACTGTAAGAATTTTATATTTTATATTTTCAATTAAAATTAAGTTTAAATAAATGTCAAGAATTCTTATTGCATAAATAGTATATATTTTGCTATACATATATTTTAAAATATATAACTTTTTGAAGACGGGTTATTTGATCCACTTTGATAGAAATAAGTATATATTGGTACTTTTAGTGTTAAGCGACCTGATATTATTGAGGAGAAATGAAAGATTATTTAATTTCTAAAAAGTAAATTGAGTATTATTGAAGATCAGTATATTTAAAAACATTTTTAAAATACTTTAAAATTTAGAAGTAGAAACAGAATACTTTATAATTATGAATTTATACTTATTATTTTGTAAAGAAATAAAGGAAAAAATGGAAGAAAGAAAGGAATATTTATGAAAAACCATAAAAAGAATAAGAATATGATATTAGGGAGATGAAAGAAACTAATTACAATTATAACGTTTATTCTAAGCGGTCTTTGGCTGAATTTTACTAGTAATGAAATGTATAGCATAAAAAATATGATAAACATTATATGAAAAGTAAAATATCATTGTCCGGATCTAACCCACGAGGAGATAACTGCTTCTGAAGACCCAAATTTTAATGAATAATAATTAAATTTGAATCATCAGTAACATGCATTGATGTGTTTACACGTTTAAATCTAAATCTTTTTCTTAGGAAAGAATGAATATCTTTTAACCATTTTAGCGCAGTAACGACATCGAGAGTTCAAAACATTCATTTAAAAACATATAAAAATAAAAACGTATGAAAATTATACATATATACTATATGTGTTTAAACAATCTTAAATATAAGTAGAGTGCATTAGAGTATTAAAATAATTGTTAATTAATCGAAAGAAATGTATATTGTGGTTTTAATGCACGGAGTATAAGATTGATGTACCATCCCTCTCGAATTCCACCGTTGGACTGGTTTATTGTCATTTATGAAAGTCAACTAAAATTCTTTTATTGATTATTATTTATATGACTTTCCGAAAGTTATATATGTATAACGAAAATTTTTTTAATTAATTTTTTTTGATTATTTTTTTAATTTTGAAGTTATATTTGTATAACGAAAATCCTATTTAATAAAATTTAAGATTCAAATTATCTTATTCTAACGCGTTGTCTTAACATTAACGTAATTTTTGAAATAAAAGCATATTTATTTAAACATTTCAACATAATTATAACTTTCGAAAGTTTCATCTAACGAAATATTAGATCCATATAAAAAAAACTTTTATTTTATATTCAAAGTGTGTTATTAATTAATATTTAAACAATAATTAATATGTAACAAATAATTTTTAATTATTTAAATAATTTTTATGTCATCACTTGTGCCAATTTCAAATTTAAAGTTAACCAAATATTAAATTCAAATATTAAATTAGTATTATTTTATAATAAACTTGTATTACGAGCAATTATTGCTTAAATATTCGCTTATTATACTGCACGAATATTCTAAATTGTTTAAATAATCAAAAATAAAAGATATTGAATATACCTATAAGGAGGCAAAATTTTCGATATAGACCCGTTTAAATTCAAAACGATGCAGTCTCGATAACTGCGAAAGTCTAACGAACATTTGTTTCTATAAACATCATATTACGATTTCAAGTTTAAAACTTTTCTATTGATAAAATATCGATTTTAAATAATCATAATATAAGATCTTATGTTACATAATGTTTAAACAATTTTGTTTAAATTATTACATATTTTTTATTAGACGATAAATTGTTATTATTTAATTACTCAAAATCAGAGCATAGTACATTACAATATTAAACATATTTGAAATGATTATTAAACGAACGAACGAACGAAATGTTTATATTTTCGAATACGGATTAATAAAATTGAGCTGTCTACTCTTCAAAATTAAAGTTGAAATCTTATAATATTATAGATCGCGCGCTGTGAGCATTAAAAAAAAAAAATATATATATATATATATAATGTATACAGGTAGATAGAAGGTATATAGATATACATTACCTATACGAGAGCGTCTCGTAGCGAATGGGCGGTGCAAGGAACGACAACGGGGATTAGAAGGAGGCCGGGAATGGATGGGGATTGGAACATCGATGGTGGGGACTCCCATAGTAGAGTAGGGAGAATAATGTTACCAACGAATAGTCCCTTCTGCTATCGAGATACCTACCACGAGGTGAGAGAATGGACGTGCAACCAAGGTGATTCAGATGCGCGCGTTATTTCATACCGAATCACCTTCTTATGTTATACACTTCGAAGTCGTGCCATTTTTCGAGTTTAATATATTCATTTATTGTTTATCGACCTCGACTTGTTTAATTTTTATTATTTTGTTTGCGACCAAAAATAGAGTTGTTTTAAACAGGAGAAAGAAGGAGAGAAGTTGAATTAATTGGTTTGGAAATTTTTCTTTTTATATGGAAGAGGGGTTCGTTAATGGTGTCAGAATCTAATATAAGTGTTGAGAGCAGAATGGTTTTGTGGAGTAAAGGGATATGATGGAACGTGTAACTTTTGTGAAAAGATAGAGAAAACAAATTAGGTTGTATTAGAAATCAAAAAGAAAATTTGACAGATATATTGAGTTGATTTATTAATTATTCATTTCATTTTTTTTCTTCTAATATTGCCACATTGAATGTTTGGATTTCTTTGAAATTATTCTGGAATTATTGAAAAAAACGCGTCGTTGTCGCAGTGAATTAAATGTCGACGAAAACAGGAAGGCCGTCATCCCCACGACGGTTCTTTGCACGTATCTATGGTCATTTAGAATCAACGAAAAAAGTGAACGACGCAGTGGAAGATTCAAAATCAAGGACAAATTTTGAATCTTCGACAAGAGGGAACGTCTGCGAAAAAAATGCGAATTCTGGCACAGAAACTTTGTGTTCTACACCTCATGGCGGTACTACACAAGTAAGTCCTTTTTTATTTTGAATATATATATATAGTGATTAATCTAATTAAAACTATTTCGATCTATTAAAAAACAGTCTTTACAAAATATTAGAATTAATTGACGTTATATTATTTATATATGATTCGTGTAGTTATTGTAACTTTATTTTAATATAAAATGTGGACAACAAAAATTTATTTCCATATAAAATATATTTTATTCTTATATCTTTGCATTTGTGTGTATCAGGAAAATAGTGTGACGGAAACTATAGCGAGAGAAGAAAGTAAAACGCAAGATCCTGAAAGATTGAGAATACCGCAAGAGGATGCAAGAGTATCCGAAAAGGATTCTCGGTTGCCGACCTTAGGGATTCCCTTTTTATCTCACACATTTTTTCCTGGTACTCCTAATCACACGCTGCACCTGACGCAACTCGCACATCCTTCTGTACTTCCGCCGCATCTTCATGGCTTAACGAATCATCCGGCGACGGATCATCATTTGCAAGGATTCTCTGCCTTCCGTAAGTATTTTTGTATAGTTTCGATGAACACAAAATCTCTTATTTTAAACCTTACGATATTAATTTCAACGGTAATAAATATGTGTGGCACTACAAATTTTTACCGCCAAATAAAAAATAAATATTGAATACAAATATCAATAGACTGTTAAGAAAACAAAATTCTATTTAAGAAAAAATAAAAAGTTCTTCAATCAAATTTGATTAATCAACGATGAAAAATGTCACTTAACAATTAAGTTAATTAACACATATAAATTTGCATGAAACATAAATTCATTCGTCGTATGATCGAATCCTACAATTCTAACTAGTTCGAGAGGGGGTAATCGTGGGGAAGAAATAGGAATGGAGACTCGATAAGCGTCAAAGACGAATCGAAATGATAGCCGTCGTCCATGGGATTTTCATGAGACGTCTATGGGAGAAGAGTCTTTGTCGAAGATATTTTACTTGAATGGTTGTTGGTGAAGAAAGAACGGACGTGCGGTGTCTTCATCATAACGCGACTTCGTCAAATCTGCTTATGCCGATGGGACATGCGTTTATTCAAAACGCGCATATATTCCTGTTTGCGGCAAAGACGGCTGTCCATCCTCGGCTTACCGTGGAAACTTCGAATCCTCGGACCTTTGGAAGTGCACGTTGTATTCACTTGTTAACAAAACCTCCATATTCTAGTATATCGAGTTCTGAATGCTTTTATAATAAAATCGTAGAAGGGAGATCGAGAACTCGGCTACATACTATCGGATAAATTCTTGATGAATTTGGAAATACTGCTGTGCATGTTTATATTTTAGATAAATCGATGATAACAACATTTTTAGCTAGATCAAAATGATGATTTTTAATTAATTACTAATTTTATTTCTTTCAAAATTAATAAATCAAGAACGTGTAATTTTCTATGTGCATCCCCGGCATCACCTTAAACTTTCAATGAAAAAAATTAGAACATAAAAATTAATAACAAATTTAACAGATATGTAGAAAGCGAGATAGGAGATCAAAAACAAGAAGAAAGAAAAATGTGAAAGAAAGAGAGAGAGGGTAGAAGAAAATGGATTTAAAAATTTCACTGTTCGCCTGAGATTTCGTCATTGTGAGTCGTTGTTACAATAAATACACACGTATACATGCACACATTGGGGAAGGTTTATCCCGCTTCGCCACCTCGTGGCGATATTGTGATGAGATTACGAAACGCAGTTGGCCGAATCTCAATGTAGAATATGCATTGCTATATTTCCCCAAACCAATTCCGCCTCTCTGGTCTTAAGCCGTTGTCACGACAGGCGCCACCAAAGATTCCTGGTCATTCGGAATTAATTAAATATATATTATCGAATAATATTTTATCTAATTATTTTTAGAATTGTTATAATTATCCCTAAATAATCAATTTTCATTAAATTACTTAGTTTTCCATTCTAGTCATTTTTTTATTTTGTTATATTATTTTGTATTACTTGCAAATTTTTCAACAATATAAATTTATTTATTTGTGCTCATACATATACATAAATTAAAACATTATTAGAAGTTATTGAACTATAATTTCTAATATATTTAAAAATTTAATTCTCAAAATAAGTGATATAAAAATACGTAATGGCCGTCATCACTGCATTTTTATCATGAGGCGGGTTTTAGAGGTAAAAGTAAAAAGCAGAAGATAGATAGAGAGAGAGAGAGAGAGAGAGAGAGAGAGAGAAAGAGAGACAGACAGAGAGAGAGAAAGAGAGAGAAAAAAGAAGAGAAAAAGGGAAAGAGGGAACGAGAAGAGAAAGGGAGAGATAAATCATGTGACAATGAACTCATCGAGGTGCGATAAGTTATTATCGTTATTGTCAAATCCGTTTCGTTTGGTCTTCGCTCCTTGCAGTTTCTCCAGTAATATTCATTAATGTAAACTTAGCGGTATAATGTAACGCGTTCTATAGTTGACGTATTTATATTAAGTGAAATTTATTCCTCCGTGAAAAGCATTTACGTACAGACATAATAATTTATACACATACACGTACAAGTTGAAATATACAACATAATCTTAAATTAAAGTATTTTGTTAATTGCTAGCACACATTTTGAAAACTATTAAGTTGTTTTTCTCAACAACAAAAAATAACGATACGCTAAATTACATTTATATATAATTAAAATCAATTAACACATACTACAGCACGTGATTATTAAATGTTGTAAAGTGTATAAATTTTGTAAAGAAAAAAGGGGGGTGTTTACGTTTGATATTTTAAGATAGACAAGTTTTTACGATAACGCTTGGTAAGCACTCTTTCTAAAGTGCGAACATCCATGCAATTCGTCGAGTAGGGTTCAAGGAGCAATTAGGATCCTATTCCCATTCTGAACCAGATTGCGCGAAGCCTCGAGCATCTGACTTCCGGTATCATTTATCCTTCACATCCTAATTATTTTACAATATGGATTGCGGTTACGGTATCGGATTCCTGTCCTGTCCAGATAAAACGTGTACCTTTGACGATAAATCTTATATCTATTTGATATTTACTCTTTACTAAATAAAAAATACAATATATCGAATAAATTAATAAAAAGTTTTACCAACAAGTGAAAAATAATTTTAATATGATTTTAATGATATCTTCACAGTTTTATGTGCCTAATGAAATTAATTATTAATAAAATATTTATAAAACTTATAAAATTCATTTGAATAAAAATGATCGTTGTTTTAAACACAAAATAGCTTATTGGACAATCAGCAGTTATGGAATTTTTATTAGTTTATATTTAAATTAATAACACTACTATTTTTTAGATTAAAATTTCCAAAATATTGATTGGTCAAATCTAGATTAAATTGTTCGTTCTGTCATTTCGTTTAAATAAAATAAATTCTTTTTGTATGAAAAAAATGCAGTCGCACGTCGTAGAAGAAAAGAAGGCCGACCAAGAAGACAGAGGACAACATTTAGCGGGGAACAAACTTTGCGTTTGGAAATAGAATATCGGAGAGGTGAATACATATCAAGAGGTCGAAGATTCGAACTGGCGGAGTCTTTGCGATTGACGGAAACACAGATCAAGATATGGTTTCAAAATCGTCGAGCTAAAGACAAGAGAATTGAGAAGGCACAACTAGATCAACAGTATCGGTAAGCATTACGAAATTATGGTTGAACATTTTGCAATGTTTTGTATTTGATTCTATATATATATACAGAAATTTGGAGCGACTAAAAAATATCCACAAAAATATCAAAATTGTGCAACTCGTTACTATATTATGTATAGTGTTTGCTTCAATTTTTATATTATCAAATTTCTAGAATGTTAAATATTTTCATTTAATTACAAATTTATTAATTATATGAAATTCATTAAATTTTTATATTTAATATAGAAAAATATATTAATTATAATATAATAGTTAGATATAATTATAATAGATAGATGATTATCCTGTTACTAAAATTAACTAATATTATGGACAACTTGATACCGCATTTGTCACACGAAAAATTCCTTCGAGCGTAAAGCTCTTCCTGTTGATTCCTCGTAAGTATCCTAATCTAAATGAGGACTAACAAAAGTTAGGATAACTCGAGTCCTTTTACCTTTTCTTCGTCGTAGCCAAAGGTACGTGGGAACTAACGGATGTGTTGAACGAATAAACGAACGAAACGTCGAACCAAGTGGATCGGAAAATCTATTGGTATATAAACCGTACGTACGCGTTCATCCAGGCGTTTATCTTTGGCTTATCGAATAGAACCATCTGATCGAGTACTGTAATGGTATCAGGTGCATATTGGCTGAATAATACCCAGAAGAAAAGAAAGAAAAAAATCTCGTTGAAGGCTGAGAGGGTTGACTGTGATTCAAAGCTACGAATCAACGGGCTGATATTTCTGATACGATGGAATACACCACTAAATAGCCTCTTTTCAGAAGAAGAGATTACACGCTCGCGTGCCGAACAACCTTTCTTCGAGTCTTTAAGAGAATGGCCCTAGAAAGATGCTTCTGTAAATACTTTACTCCTTCTCAAGTAATTTTTCTTATTTTCCTTTATCATATTCTCGAAGAATGGGAGGAAAATACTGGCTCATTTAATCGATCATATTTTCATCAAATTTTTATGCAAAAATAAATTAACAATATTTCTTTTACACAACAATACACACAACAATACACACATGCATACAAATATTTTATATTTTATAATATAAGATATGCGAAAACAAAAATTTCTGATTGAAACTTGATGAAAATTTGAATCTTATTTTTATAATAAATAAAAACAAATTAGTGAGAAAGATCTAACGTAAAATGTAAGATCTTAATATCGATAAAAATCGTATGGTTTAAGTATCTTGTCTGGCGCTTCAGTGCAGCTGTGCTAATGACCGTGGTAATGACCATATCGTAGGAGCAATACATCAACCCTGACAAGATAATGATTTAGCTGGATGCACTGTAGCGAAATACCGTGGAAGCTGCTGCCGCTGCGGGAAGTACCATATGCTTTGAAGGGCCGACGTGCTCTCGCTATTGTTATTGAATTTCGCGCATCTTATCTTTCCCATGGCCACATCATGGCTCTATTCCGAGCTTTCCTCTCTATTTTCATCAAAGAATTCACTCCCACGAATCCTTCTTATCTCTTTCTCTCTATAAGTAAGGATGATTTCATTTGGGATCCTCTATTTTTACAAACATTTCACTTTTATTTCTAATAAATGACAAATTCAATACATATTCAATTTTTTATTTTGAAGAAAATAAAGTTAAACAATAAAATAAATAACTAGAAAAAAGAAAAAATAAATCTTCTATATTAAAAATGTGTAATCATGAAGAGCATGAGAGCAAACGATGTGCACGCAATTCGTCATTTAGTAAGATTAAATGGTGAACTTAAGATTCTTAAAAGAAATATTTATATTTTTATTTGGAAATGTTCTTTTTTCAGAAACTTCGCAGTTTCCAGTGGCTTCGTTAACTTGCCCATTTATGGTAGTGGTAATTTCTGCAGGCTGTGTCTTTATAAAGACGCCTTTGGATCATCCGCAGGACATTCATGTGCGTCCACACACGTTACTGCCATAAGTTCATCGATAGACCAACCTCAATGCAGCAGCAGTAGTGGAAGCGAAATGTCTGATAATCCTTCTACTGTCACATCACCGATTTAAATAAAAGATCGATCCTTCGTTTAGTATAGAAAGGTCTAATATACACGGGGCTTGCCATAGTTGAAGGACAATTTATGCACGAGGTAAACACAACGCGATAAAACGATTCATTCAGATTTATCTATTATATTATCCTCGAGATTCAATTTAAACAATGATTCAATAATCGATCGCGTGTATAACTATATCAATTCTATTATCGTGTATGAAATATTCGTAATATGTATAATGGTTGAGGTACCTTTATTTAATAATCGATAAATTCGATCATTCTACAAACCAAAGAATATGAACCTCAAAAAAAAGAAGTACATACTTATTAATTCATTCGTTTTTAAGTCCAATCTCTAATTAATTTTCTTTTTTGGAATATATCCTCGATTGTCATTCGTTTCTAATGTATTTATTACCGTAAATATATATTTCTTAAGTATAAGTATACATGTATGTAAATCACGACTTATTGCTATTTTATAATTGTTAATTAAATGTACATATTTTGTTATTAACATTATTTTTATTATCTTTTATTGTATAATCTGCAATTGTATTGGTTCGTGTATCTGAAAAACTAGGAAAAAATTGTCGATTCGTTTCGAAACAAATTAATGACTTAAGATAATGTATAAGAAATTTTAATAAATTCATTATTTATTTTAAAATCAATTTATCTATTAATCTTTTATAACGATGATCGATCGATTATAGGTGTACGCATTTTTAAAGGATGTTAAAAAGGATCAGAATACATTTTTGTCGTACGACTATGCCTATGTACTAAAAGTAAATTACCGTCGACATCTTTGTATTTGCATGTGTATAAACCATCAATTTGATATATTGTATTCAAAAATAAATTAAATAAATAAATTATTTTGTATGGCGTACAAGGCATAGCTTACAGACCACAATGTCTTTAGAGGTTTTCGATGAATTAATACACGAGCAGAGACTGAAAGAAACTTTATTTAAATCTCATGAAAGAGACACATCTATAATTTTTATTTATCTTTTCCTTTATATCAGATTAATCGCATTAAATTAATGCTTAATAAAAAATATTAGATAATATCGAGATTAAAAATAAATGTTAATTAAAAAAAACCTGTTTTATGGATCTAAGAATCATATAAAAATTAAATTATAAGATTTATTTACAAAATAATTTCGTATTTACATTAACATATTAATTTTGCATTCTAAGATGTTAATAAAAATCACATATAAATAAATATATTAAAATTAATTTAATATATTTTAATATGTGTACAATTAAAAATTAGTTCCATAAAACAGATTAAAATGTCTAATTTTCGAATATTATAACTATCAATGTTATTTAATCATAATTAATGAATGAATAATTATTTACAACTTACTTTAACTTACCTCCAACGACGGCTGATTCTGGGGAGTAGCGGAGAGGCACGATGCGGTCTTGGAGTACCAGTCCGATAGTAAACCAGAAATTAATGAAAACGAAAGACAGCAATTAATACAAGGAAAGCAAAATAAAGTAGCGAGATAAGATAAAAAGAATTACTTTCTTTCATACTTTTTCTATATATACACAAAATGTGTCACAGTACTATACATATTATATCAATTTATTTATTCTTCTTTTTTTTTGTCTCTTCAATATAAATTGTAATAATTATTTTGATTTTAAACAAATATACTACGATTTTTCTTGCAATATTAATCGAGAGTTAAAATGTAAAAAAATAATAAATAGATAAATATAGATCTTTGATTCTATAATTTTTGTTCTCAAACGATTGATTAAATCTTGATAAAATGATTGAAATCTTCAAACTGTATAATATCAAAGTATTTAGATAAAACAAAACGAAAAATTAATTATTGTGCGAACATAATACAGCATCGAGCTATAAATTTAGCATTTGCGTGGTTGCAAAACTTATTTTCAAGTTAAACTTACACAATATATAGAAATATTAATGCAATAATATGAGGATATTCGTAAAACACCTTTCAATTGTGCTGTAGTTAATGTTCTGCAAATTATATAAAAAAATAATTTAATGAAAGGTATTTTATTCAAATCTCGCATATTTATAAATGGGTGACATGTTAATTATTCACAAGAGAGATAGTGAATATGTAAAAAAATGTTTATAAAAAAAAAAATTAAAAAAGAAATAAAGAAAGAGAAAAAAGGCCATGCCTGTCATGTTGAAATGCCCTGTAAGGAGACAAATATAAATATGCATAATAAATATAATTAGTTTATGGTACTTTATATTGTCCGCAAAATCTTCATAATTATTATTTATCTAGTAAAATTTCATCAATGTGTCATTTAATTTAATGTAATTTAAATATGAAAATTCAAGTACTTTTTTTTAGAAACGTATAAATGCGTACAGAAAAATTTTTTAAATAAAAAACAAATTAGACTTTGCGAACAGCATAAAAATAAAGTACTTATCACGTTTATTTTACTTCATCGATATTTAAATAATTTGAAAGTGTGAACACGACCTCGTTAATTTGAAAACTTAAAAAATTATTATTTTATATATATAAATAAATAAAAATGTACACCTAATTTATTATAAATATTATATTTTTTATATTGCGATAAAATATCCTCTGTTATGAAAAGCTATTACATATATTAGAAAACTTAAAAAATATATATTATAGAAACTTCTAAAGTCAAAATTTATTTGCGGTGCACGTTGATAAGGGCTAATAATAAGAATTATAGCATTCATTCATGTGTTTAGAAAACTAGCTACTATTTTTTTCAAACAATTCATATTATAACCAATTAATGCTTTAAAGTCCATTGCTCGAAAATAAAAAAAAAACATTATCATGTGCAGTGAATAGAAATATTTTTTGAAATATCACAGTCCTAAACTATATATCCATATAACAACCATAATTTATATTTTCATAATAATAAAAAAATAAAAAAATATACATTAAAAAAAATAGGAAAACAAAATAAAATGTATTTTGGACCAGAGTACCACTAAACATTATAAATATCATGCATACACAATTTACCTTTCAATTCCCTATATATATCTAAACAGATGATTCTTGAATTCCTACCTGTGGTTGCACTACAGAGGCTAGTAATTATCCTAGCAAGGTCTAGTCTGCTGCAGAGGTCAGAATCCTTTAGTTCAGCTACCTGCCTGTCATTTCTTCATTGTATTCATGCTTCTAATCAGCCACACTAAAGATCCATCCACAAAGTCTAGCTATGTTTACTATTCTTTACTTTTATTAATCTCTTATGTGGATTCTCTAGACGACAAAACTACCTATCATACTCTAACAACATAATTATTCTTGTATAGGAAGCACAGATTTACCTAACAGTCACATTCCACTTACCATAAATATATATATATTTGCTATATATATACATATAGCAAAATCTGATTAAATCACTATAAAAGTGACTGTAAGGCAGGAAAATAAATTAGACTAGTAGACATTGCTAAACTTTAGCATTGATTTCAAATATAAATGTAAAACTTTTAATAAGCTACATTTTTGAACACCGAGCTACACTATATAACACACATACTAATATTATAATATCAGTGTTGCACAATCAACTAAACAACTGGGATGCTCTACGATTATATAATATATGTTGATCTAATATTCGAATATAGAATTAAAATAAATAAAAGATTAATATATATTTTATAACTTAATGATATTTAAAAATATTAAATAAGGTAGATAGATATGAAATCTATACCAAACAATCACTAGATAAAAGCAAATGAGTTCGGATAATTATTACTGAATATTATTTTTAAATTATGAAACAACTAATAATGTATATATATATTATTAGCCTAAGTTTCTCTGTATAAAAGCATCATATGTATCAATAATGTTTACTTAGTACAACACTGATTTTAATTCTCAATCTTGGTTGTGGATTTACTTGAGAGGGATACGAAAAATATTGAAGTAACATAATCAAAATCATATCTCCTGAATTTATAGAATCCTTAATTTATAGAAATAGGTTTTCAATTTGGATAAGTGACATAAGCGATTAATATAATATATAATAATATAAAATACAAAACACTTCTCTCTCTTATTGTCCCTTTTCTGATTTAAGTATAAAGATGTAGGATGATATTCCTATATTAACCAAAATAACGTCATATATTGTTTCGAAAAGAAAATAATTATCTAAATTGCCAACCTATATGAAACTGTAAAGATATATTTCTTACTATTTTCTACTATAGTAGTAATAAGAATTCTATAGAGTATTTCTTTTTATTGTTCAGTAAGTTATAACTTTATATAAGTCACGTTATAGTGATCATTTTGACGAACTGAGGTGAGAAACGTATCCCTTCAACTATAAATCCATTAGAATCTTAATTACGCATTATTAAAATTAAACAAAATTGATAATAGGTATTTTTTTTCATATATACAAATTATTTAATACTGCCTTTACACATAAATATAAAACACTCATTGGTGCTTTCATTTTCTACACAGATTGACAAAAGTACAATTATCTTTTCTATCGTATATCTTTCGTCGAGTTATACTATCATCTGCCTTCCTTTTTCTATACTTCCCTGTTCTCTGGAATCCTCACAGCTATAATTTTTGTACCTCTGACTTAGCCTATGCTGCTGATCGATATTTTTCGTTGTTTCATAAATTAAAGAGTGACGTGGAAAAGGTTCTGGTCAGTTTTATTAGCTAACTCTTAAAACATTACAACTTAATCAATAATTGGTTAATCTAAGTAACCTATGAAATGCTGACTGACGCTATGCTCTGTTTTTAAATTGCCTACTTTAATTAAACTGCTATTAAAACTTTTTCGATATTCTTCCATTATACTTTGTCTTTCATTAAGAATTTCTACCTAAATAATAATGATTGCATTTTTTCTTCTTCACTCGTTTGTTAGCTTTTTCCTTGATGATCTCTTTTTTATTGAAACTAAAAATATGATAAAAATAGTAAAACCTAAAAATTTGTAAATAAACTATTGTTGTCATCACGAGGGTCAGTTGAGCTTTTCATCAATGTCCACAATGTTATATATCCTACACAATCGTAATCTGATACACAAGAGAAATGAATGTAACAAATAATATGCAATTAAATCAGGTTGCATGGTATAAATATATTATACCGTTAATCAGAAAAAGATTCACTTCTTAACTATTCCAATATACGAGTCTTTAATGGGTGATAGTAATGATTAAACAAATAACCATTGCCTCTTCTAATAAGTATTATCATGTGCCAGTCAAGATGTTCTGGCACTCCCTAAGAAATATGATGCAACAATTTCACATGATGAGTTGAATGTGTAGGGGATGTAGTAGGTGCTAGATACCGAAACAAATACAGGCATAAGCCTCCCTCACTGCGAGCTAACAGATGATGCTTCTCTGTCCTTTATCCTGATTGTCCTGCCTGGTCTTGTCTCTAGCCTTATAGCCCTGCCTGCTCCACTACTAAACAGTACAGAAGTACTGGCGACTAGAAGACAAGTAGTAGGTTCACCTGAGGTTTAAAATTCATAAATCTGTTAGTTGCAATGACTGAAAAGTCCCAGAAATTGTAAAGATCTATGTTTTGCGCTAAAGTGTTATGTGAAAAGGAAAACAAAACACTTCTTTTTAATTTATATATACATTAATACTTCAATATCATCGTAACAAAAAGAAATTAAACTATACTTAAACAAAAAAAATGCAACCAAATATCTAGACACTGCACTAAAATAAAAATAATGAAAATTGAGAAGAAGAGAACAACTTAATATTATTATACGATAATAATAAAAAAAAGTGATAACAAAATCAGAATGAAGAAAAAATAATAATAAAGAAGCATGAAATTAAAAGTGTATACGTCCAATGTATTTTCTGAAAGAAGTGAATATATATATATAATAATACATGTATCTTGTGTAGATAGCCAATCAGATAAATTTCTTTTTAAATTTGAATAGTAAGTGGCAACTAAATTTAATTAAATAATTTTTCTATTTAATTTTATGAATTTTGGAATATAAAATATAAAATGAAATTTGAGAACTAAAATAAATATTGTTACTGAATACCTGTTCTAATTGACTGATTTACCCTATATGAAAATATTAATAAAATATAAACTATATGCTAATTAAATCTGATAAACTGTCTTCCATCGTGCCTTTCAATACCTTACATCCTACATATTTATAATAATATAAATATAATAGAACTATGCATGACTGTTAAACCCTTATAACAATTTCTATGTACTGCACTTGGTTTTTAATTTTATTTCAATCTAAGATATTTAAAATTTTCTAAATTATTTTATAGTGGTAAACGAAATATAAAATACCTTAAATATATATATATAAATAGAGATGAAGTATACATCTAAATGGATATGGTTTGTTCAGAAGAAGAAGCAAGGAGTTTACCTGCACTACAGGTAACAGTTTTCAGAAAAGAAATGAAAAAAAATAAACAATTATAACAAAAAGACGAAAAAAGAAAATAAATAAAAAACGGTTACGACAATGAATCATGCTTACCGTGTGAGGGAGAATGAACAAAACTTGTTGGAAGAGAAACTTTAGTATCTTCGACCACCACCTCCACCTCCACCGCCACCCATATTTCCACCACCAAGAGAATTGCCACCATAGCCTCCTTGATTTCCATAACCACCACCACCACCTGAGTTACCTCCGCCCATTGGACCTGTAAACATAATCAAATAGAAATATTAGTAAAATTATGCATTATGCGTGTATTAGAAATCACAAACATGATTTTAAATGTTTCTTTGTTGTTATATTTAACCATTTCTGATTGTTGATATGAGTTACGAGATGAATGTTTCTGGAAAAAGTTACTGATGTTTTTTATAGTTTAAATCTATCTATTTCTTCACTTATATAAAGTGAATATTTATATTTTGGGAATATTAATTAAATGAATATCCTAGGATAGCAGAGAGAGAGAGAGAGAGAGAGAGAGAGAGAGAGAGAGAGAGAGAGAGAGAGAGAGAGAGAGAGAGAGAGA